TACTTTAGTAAATAAATCTAAAAAAAGAAAAAAACTTTTACCAAAATAAATCCATTTATATCTGTGTCTAAGCTTTACAAGAACTTTAAATAATGTAAATTTCTCGATTGATAAAATCGTATTTTGTTACACCACGTTATCCTTCATAAACAGCCTTTTCGGAACAATTCAAATTTAGATGTTCATGTTTTTTTATTTCAATAGTGACTTATTTATGCTTCAGAAACGATCGAGAAATTATCAGAATTCAGCACATATTATGTTAAAAAAACGAAATTATCTTCCTCATTATTGATCAGATTATAAGTTTATTGAGGGTACCGTCGTAAATCAGACACGCCGCGTCCCTCAGCAAATGAAGGGTTGCTTAATATGATGTTAGGTACTTTCCCAAGTCTGTCCTAGCCACAGCGCTCGGCCCACCTAGCCTGTTCTAGAGGCGTCGCTAAGCCCCCTAGCCCATCCTAGCCACAGCGCTCAGCCCCCATTGCAACCACTTGGGAAATTGATACTTGGGAAGTCGCCCTTCTGAAAATGCCTTTGGAATAGTATCTATAGGAATACCCTTAAAATTACAGTTACAATCCCTGAAACAGACACCTCTGAATTCTACATGAATGACAGTAAATACAGTTCTTGAAACAGATACCTCTGAATTCTACATGAATGACAGTAAATACAGTTCTTGAAACAGATCCTTCTGAATTCTACATGAATGACATACAAGGTTTTTAATTTAGAAAGCCACCATTTTAAATCGTTCTAAAATTTTCGCAAAAATCTCTGTTTTAATTTTTGAATTTTCAAAAATAATTCTTTTTTCTGGGCAAAATTCTTCTACCTCGACCAGCCACCAACCTTCTCTGGAGTCAAGTGAGGTCCCGCAAAAAATTGGACCCGATTAAAGAAGCAGTCATATTTTCCAACAAAATGTTCTAAAGAAATATCGATTTAAAGGATTTCAAACTTAAATCGTAAATCTAATAAATTAAATAAATCATGCTTGATCTTTCAATTAAATTCATCCCTGCAGGCTGCAGGGTATGTACATCATGGGATATCAAAGAGAAATTAAATTAATCTGAAGATCTATAACGTAAGATGTAGATCAGTATTTGATCCCAAGATTCACAACAAAATTTTGATTTTCGAGGTCGAATTTGAAGATTTAAACCGCGTCGCTGAACCGTCAAAAACCGGTTCCAATTGAGCGCCATCTGCTCAAATCTCGAAACACTGAACACTATCGTTTAAAATGAAGTAAATATTTCCATTTACTGATTCTAGCGCCGATTGATGGATTTATAACTCTAATTGGATAATGAGATAGATAGATAGATGTTACCGCCATATTATTTCTATAGGTTCAGAATAAACAACAAACACATGACTGAACCCTGATTGGATCAGGCGCTTTAATGGACTCGACATACAGGAGTGTGAATACAATTTAAAGAGGAACCAATCATGTTTTAGCCGCATTTAAAATGTAAAACTGGCTCAAATTCTTTAAATTCGGTCTCTGAAGTAGTTTCTGTATCATATTCTACTTATTTGAAAATATAAAGATGTTTTTATGTCGACATTGTTTTGCTCATTTTATAGTTTTTTCCATTTTGACTTTAATAGGGCTGGGAAAAATTTCGTTAACGAAATGGAGGTTTTACAAAACTAACGGAAGAGTCTGTTAACGAACGGTAAACCCCGTTAATTTGTAAATCGTTAACGGATTAGCCGTTTAAAAAAAAAAATTAACTGTTGTAAACGAAAACAATGGAGATGTGTTTTAAAAAAACGGCCACTTTCGTTCTTTTTTCTGCTAAATTTCTTACATTATTGTTAAAATTATCCTATGTATGTTCTTAGATGTCGCCTTCCCTCCACACTTATTTATTTGATGGAACTTTAAAAGTTTTTTTGCAACCTAATAAACCGATTCTTTTTTAGAGTTTTGGCAAATGGTTAACGCCATTAATACTACAAACAATAAAAAAATTTTACTCATTAAGTTAAATCTGTTAAATATCTTTAAAGATTAAAGGGACTGTAAAGGAAAATGAAAGGGTGTATAGGCTAAAACCTTAGTTTTTAGGAGTTAATTGAGACCCAGAAGAGTTCTATCTGATGTTCCTGTCTCGAGAAATTGATATAGAACTGTGTCAAATTTATTCGAAAATTTATTTATATAAAATATTGTATAAAAATCGTAGATTTAAATAAATCATATTCAGCAAATACGATTCCAATCTGAAAACGACGATATCCCAGAGGAGCCTGAAAAACTTAATTTTATTTAATTAAATGGAGAAGTTTTTCTGCAAAAATTCACAAGATTTAATCTTATTTAAATGAAGCGAAAATGTTAAATTTTAAGATTATTAGACTAATTCAGAGGACAGCTTTATGTATTCTAATGTGTTTCCTTTTAAAACGTTTTATCTCTATTTATCAAGGAGAACAACAGGGATGCAAAAGTGACTCATGTCGGTCATAGCATTTCCGGCCTGCCTGGCCAGCCGGGCTCGTCAGCTGAAAAAATCCTAACTTATTCCTGTTTCCCGGAAATTCTAACTTATTCCTGTTTCCTGGAATTTCAAACTAATCCTTGTTTCCTAGAAATTCTAACTTATTCCTGTTTCCTGGAAATATTCTAACTTATTCCTGTTTCCTGGAAATCCTAACTTATTCCTGTTTCCTGGAAATTCTAACTTATTCCTGTTTCCTGGAAATATTCTAACTTATTCATGTTTCCTGTCCTTTAAATAATCTAACTGCACAATTTCCAGAATTATTCTTGTCAGCTTGGAATAAATGTAATTTGAAAACTTTGAGATGGGGAATCATGGTATTTACAATAGTTTTACTTTCTACACATCTTCCAGTTTTGGGAGAGTGAAACGATAATATAGAAATATTAGAATTCCTTTCAAGTTGATAATTAGATGATGATTTTTATCTTTCAATACGTTTAATTAGCGTGTCTAGAGAATTTGAAAGAAACCAGTTCTTAACAGTTCTATTTATTTTTTGGTAAAATAAATCAAACATTTATATAAACTTCTTCTCACACTCAGTCTCCACCTCCAACTCCTCTCTCAACACCTCCCCCCCCCCTCCATTCCCATCCCATTATTCCCCTCTCTCCTACTTTCCATAAAGTTTTACTGTTTATATGTAATAAAATTTTGAATTTTCAGACAATTTACTGCCACTAAAATAATTCCATTAAAATCAATCAAAATATTTTTTTTTCTCCGAAAGCCTTTTTAGAGAAAAAACACAGAATGTAATGTTAAAGCATAAAAAGTTTAAATTTGCTGATCAACTGGTTTCAGAGTTTGCAAAAACTTTTGCAATAGAGATCTAATGAAATTAAAGGGAGTGTCAACGTAATTTCAAATGACCCTACGCTTACAAAATGGCGTATTCTATTGATAACGGCATCAATCAAACCCTTATCAAAAGTAATCAATTTTCGATGTAGTAAAAAGGGTATATTTAAAATTTATAAGGGAACTAAAGTGAATCGGACATACCGTTGTATTTTATCTAATTATGGGAAATTTACCTTTCCAGCCAATTATCTCTCTTCTAAATCTTTTAGATTATCCTTCTTGCTTCAAACTGTTTCATTACAACAAACCGGTTTTTGTCTTTTAATATAGATTAGTTTTACGAATTGTGAATAAGGCTATAGTCTTAACACCCTGTTGTACTTATCTAAGTCTAGTATAATTTAAACCATTAAATTTATTGACACACTTTGTAAAAACTGATAAAACTTTAAATTCGAAAATGTAACAGCTTTTATATAGCGTTGGGATATTTCAGAGAAAGACATTTCAAAGAAGGACATTTCATAGATAGGACATTTTATAGATAGGACATTTAATAGACTGAGTAGATTTTCCATAGACATCGAGGAGATGTATTATTTAAAAAATTTTGTTTTCTTCGATTTTTCATTGACAAGGAATAATGTAAATACAGTGCTCCCAATATACATTGCTACAACGAAACTATTAAAAAAGCATTAGAAAAACACATGAAGAGTACTTTATTCATTTTTTAAGAACTTAAAATTCAACTTTTTCATCGGTGAATAAAAGTTTTTTTTTAACAAATAAGGCTTTTGTTTAAAGAAAATTCTCGAATGAATTGTTGAAAATCCGCAAAACAAAATTCTCAGTTGTTTCTCTGACACACTAGAGGAAGACATGGTCTACATTTCATAGTTAAGATTTTTCATAGACTGAACAGATTTTTCATAGACAAGGGAAATATGAAGATGAAAAGAAAATGGAATATCTTCTCTGTCTATGGAATGTCTTTTCTATGAAATGTCCTATTTATAAAATGTCCTATCTATGATAATGTTCTCCATAAAATGTCTTCTTTATGAAATATCTTTCTATAAAATGTCCTATCTATGATAATGTTCTCCATAAAATGTCTTTTTTATGAAATGTCTTTCTATGAAATGTCCTATGATAATGTTCTCCATAAAATGTCTTTTTTATGAAATGTCTTTCTATGAAATGTCCTATCTATGATAATGTTCTCCATAAAATGTCTTTTTTATGAAATGTCTTTCTATGAAATGTCCCAACGTCTTTCATATCACATTAATCTCTCTAGAATGGCATGTTGTATTTGGTGTATTGTTCCCTTTTACTTGTCTACAGTCTGTTTGCATACAGTACGACTTGCACCATGAATTATACGGCCATTACTCTAGCCATTTCATTTGGTTTCAGTTTCTGGCATCAAACTTACTTTCGTTCTCATAGAATTAATTGTGGGTTGGCTGTGAAAGTGAAATTACAAAGAAAACGATCAAAATTCAGAACTTTGTCAGTGAGAAATACAAAACTAAAAATTTAAATTACAGTTCTTTAAAATCTTAGTTTCAACTTCGATTCTTTTCTGTCTTATTGATCAGTTGATTAAACGTAGGGTCTTAAGAAGATCAAAGCATTCAACTTTTAATTAAAAAATACTAACAAGAATTAAACTTTATTTTGCAAAAGTTTATTGACAAATAGACATACTTTAAAAAATATAAAATTCCAACCCAACATTTTTGCAATTAACCTGTTTTATAGAAATGGGCAATTTGATCATTTCTATTTTGTGAACTCTTAAAATTTGACAGTTTCTATTACAAAATTTTCCAAATTTTCTCAAAATCCTTCAAAATTCTATCCAAACAATCCTCCTCCGATAGTTGACGTTTGTGATGATGTGATATTACAGGTGTCTGAACAATCTACGGCATGGTTTCCAGTAACCAGGTTTAACAGAGCAGACATAGATCCACTGCTCATATTCTTAGATATCTTCAGTTCACTGATACATCCGGTAAAACTAGAGGAACCATTCTCAACAGTTCCTAAAATTTTATTTTATTTTAGAATTCCATTTAATTAACTATTTACTTTTTTATCTATAACTATTAAATTCTCATAATATTTTAAATATGAACCATGGAAAGCTACTCCATCACGTAGAACTAACTACATTGAAGTAAAAGCTACCTCATCACGTAGAATTAACTATAACGAAGTAAAAGCTACCCCATCACGTAAATCTAACTACAACGAAGTAAAAGCTACCTCATCACGTAGAACTAACTACAACGAAGTAAAAGCTACCCCATCACGTCGAACTATCTACATTGAAGTAAAAGCTACCCCATCACGTAGAACTAACTACAACGAAGTAAAAGCTACCCATCACGTAGAATTAACTATAACGAAGTAAAAGCTACCCCATCACGTAGAACTAACTACAACGAAGTAAAAGCTACTCCATCATGTAGAACTAACTACAGTGAAGTAAAAGCTACCCCATCACGTAGAACTAACTACAACGAAGTAAAAGCTACCCCATCACGTAGAACTTACTACAACGAAGTAAAAGCTACCCCATCACGTCGAACTAACTACATTGAAGTAAAAGCTACCCCATCACGTAGAACTAACTACAACGAAGTCAAAGCTACCCCATCACGTAGAACTAACTACAACGAAGTAAAAAAGACAATTTATATAAAAAAATCATTTCTTATTCTAAACTGCAAAGAGTCGATCCATGAACTACCGCTAGTTTTTTTCTCTTTAAAATATATGACCAACATAAAAGTATAAAATAGCAACTACAAAAATAAACTTCATTTAACGAGTGAAAGACCTTTAGTTTAGGTAACATCGCTATGCAAAATACTTTATTGGTTACATTTGTCCAGTTATTACTTATTCCATAGACTTTTCATAAGGAATTGAGTCTTAGTCACTGATTCATATTTTTTTATCCTTGTGTCTTTGCAATCTTTTAAATATTATCTGGCTAAAAAGATATAAGGATTAGGAAATTTGATTTTGCGGCTAAGCTTTAATTCCTTTTTAGTGATTTACGACTTTCATTGCACTGGTTTTTTTTCTATTTGTATTTAAATATAAAATAATCTCAGGAGTTCCAAAATGTGGTTTTCTTTATTTAAATATAATTGACAGAGAAATTGACAATGTTGTCAAGATTCAAATTTAATAAAAAAAATTTTTTCCAATGTTAAATATCTTGGTCAATTCTAAATATACAAAGAAGGAAAAGAATCAAAATAATTTTTTAATACACTCATTGTCATTTAGCAACTATCTGAAATTAAAGACGATTTTGATGTCGTCTTTCAATTCCCATGTTTAGTGTTTACCCTGTAACATTATTATAGCCTTTAGTACCATTTAAAAACTTTTTTTAGTTTAAAACTTATTATCAAAAAAAATCTTTTTTCACCTAAAACTAGTTCCAAACGGTTTTCTCCTATAACCTCTGCCAAATCTAGTCAACAGAAGTTAAATATTTTTTCAAAAACGAAAAAAATAAAAATATTATAAAACGTAGCTTTTTATCTAAGCCTGGTTTAGGGTCAAATTTCTATTGTCTGACATGAAAAAAGCAATTTCTTGTTGGTGCCAAATTGCTAGCTCTAACAACGATATCTAAAATTTTGTTTATTTACAATTAAGATTAAAATATTTAAATGTTTCCTATGGGAAGGCTTGAGGACTTGCCATCCACTACAGCTGTGAGTAGTTCTGCTGTATGTGAATATGAAATCTAAAATAGATTATTTCTAAGAAATTAATATTTACTCTTCTCTAAATTAATTTGAATTCTTGCCACCAACTAAAATTTTCAATACCTACATCTTTGCATTCTAATGGTGTAAACATTTGATGTTTCAAATTTGGATTATTTAATCTAACCTTATCTTTGATCTATATTCTTTTCAAAAGAGCATTTGAAAAATTGTTAATTAAGCTTTCATTAAAAAACTTCATTTTAAAATAAAATGTTTGTCAAAGTCGTAAATAGGTATCAATGATAAGCTTTTCAAATAATTTTTTTCATTGTCACCTCAATAAGATGCGGGACTCCAGGGTCGAGAAATGCGTCAGTGAAGAGAGCCTGTCCCTGCAGTTCAACAATCAGCACACCCCGGATCAGGTAAACGTGGAATATAAACCTACCATAGGATTTCTGAAACCAAAAAATTAAAACCTGTTTTTAAATAATTTTTCTTATTTTTTACCTCCCACTTGGATAAAACTGATCCATCCTGTAGATGCACTAGTTTCATTTTTATTGTAAATGAGTCGTTCGGACTTATTGTTATCACTTTGGATTTCAACTTCAGGGACCCTAAAACAATTATGAAATTGTAAAACCGAATATTTTAATTTTAGGGGCATGTCCGATACACAATGGAATCCTTTAAACCTTTCACTGTAAAAATGTTACTCTTTTTTTTTCTTTCTGCAAATTGATTGTTTTCAACTGCAGACTCTCTATAAAGTAACTTTGGAATTTCTTTCTTCTAAAGCAATGGAGACAATTGTGAGAATTGAACACTTTTTAAACCAGAACATGGCAATGTCAATGTCGTTCACACTTTTGATCAGATAAAGGTTTTGAAAGAGCGTGTTTGCTAATCTGACATTGGCCTTTTGGAGGGTTATTTTAAGTTACAAGAACATTTTTAGGACCTATATTTATGCAGAGGTAAATTTTTAGAATATTGAAACAAAGAATTATATTATCAAATTTCTACAGATAGACTGCCCACTCTAATTTACAAAAAAAAATTATAAATTAAAATTTATAAAATATATTGTTGAGTTCCAGTAATTTAAAAAATTCTATTTTAGCAGGAAGAAAAATGTTTTTATTCAGAACTTTTTTCACTTGTTCAAGAATACTACGCTGACTGATCGATAGATGGCCCTTAAATTATTAAATTGTAATCTCTGTTTGTCTGCCTGTACATCCGATCATAACTCTGGAACCCCTGGACCGATTTGCATTACATTTTGACTGGGAAACTTGGTAGATTCGACCAAGTGCGGGTAAACGGCGAGAGCACTATGATAACTCTGTGCAAGCTAGTGTATGATAAATTGATTGATTGCAAAAATATATCAAATGATGCCAAATGATCAAAAATCTTAAAATGATCAAAAAAAATGTACGCTAAACAAATAAGGACAACTATTTTTTTTCAAAATATCATACAGTTTTACAATAAAGTTAATTTTAAAGATTAAGGTATTCTTAAACATATTTTTATGATAAAACGTTTGTAACATGCAAGCTCTCTCTTTCATCTAGTTTTTCTTCTTTCTTTCTCTTCTATTTTCTTCTTTTTTCTTCTATTTTTTTCTTATCATTTCTTCTCTTCTCTACTCTTCTGTTCTCTTATCTCTTATCGTCTCCTCTTTGTTTTCTTTTTGTTGTTGACATTTAACCGGTTTTGAGATGAAGAATGCAGTACGATCCGTTGTTATGATTTTTCTCTGATTTTTTTTACATTTCTAGCATAAAGACCTAATTGAAACGTACTCCATAATTAGGCATTTGATTATTTGGCATTTGATATTTCAATATTTTTGCGATTGATTTATTGATTGATTTATACCTGTCTTATCTGAAAACTGAAGAACTTGTGTTTTAGTCTCACATTTCCTCTCAGTATAGAAGGACACTGTTGTTGTTGGGACTGTTGTGTAGATAGTTGGACGGTTGGTAATTGTTGTTGCAACTGTTGTTGAAGTATTAATATTTGGTCTGCTTCTCGTTGTGGTTGATGTTGCTGTTGTAGTTGTGTTAAAGTTTGGTCTACTTCTTGTAGTTGTCACTGTTGTTGTAGTAGTTGTAGTTTGGGTTGTTGTAGTGTTTATATTTGGTCTACTTTTGGTTGTTGTAGTTTCAGTTGTTGTAGTAGTTGTAGTTTGCGTTGTTGTACTGTTTATATTTGGTCTACTTCTTGTTGTTGTAATAGTTGCTGTTGATGTTGTTGTTGTAAAGTAGTCTGTTTTCCTTGATGTTGTTGTTGTTGTTGTTGTTTTTGTAAAGTAGTCTGGTTTTCTTGATGTTGTTGATGTTGTCGTTGTGATGTAGTCTGGTTTCCTTGTTTTTGTTGTTGTATAGTAGTCTGGTTTTCCTGTTGATGAAGGGCCCGATGTTGTTGTTTTATTGAAATCAGGTTTATCACTGGTCATTCCACAATCCTAAAAAAGTACATGGTATTCCTAAAAAAGTACATGGTATTCCTAAAAAAGTACATGGTATTCCTAAAAAAGTACATGGTATTCCTTTTTGAAGTTTTAAACTTGGTAAAAGCCAAGTAATCGTAGACTTGATCGAGCCAATTTAGCTAATTTCATAAACACATAGATCCAAAAAATTATGAAAAGTTGCATCGATTTTCAAGAATGGGTCAACTTTGAAGTGTTGCTAGGCCTTCTACTTGATATGGTTTTAAAAAAGACCCTGCAGAGAACAGCAATTGTGTAGTGAACACAGATCACTTTGACTTCTTCAGTTGTTTTTTAAGCAACTAGTAAACCCATATGCTTTATAATAACATCAAATACAAATAAAATTTCTTAAATATCGTCTTCCAATTTCAGAGTTTTATGAGTCTCACTGTACATTTCAAATTGATCAATTGGACTTGATATAAATATTTAGATCGAACCTGAAGAAATTCCACATTTTGCTGTTCTTTTATCATATGATCAACATTGTTCACCGCATCCGCTCTAAACAATTAATCTCCTATTAGAAATAAATATATGAATATATTTTGTAGTTATGCAGTAATTGAGGTCGAATTCATGATTGTGTACATATGCAGTAAAGAAGGTCGAATTCATGATTGTGTACATATGCAGTAATGGAGGTCGAATCCATGATTGTGTACATATGCAGTAATGGAGGTAGAATTCATGATTGTGTACATATGCAGTAATTGAGGTCGAGTTCATGATTGTGTACATATGCAGTAATTGAGGTCGAATTCATGATTGTGTACATATGCAGTAATTGAGGTTGAATTTTAAAGAATTTTTGACATCAAAACTGCTTCAACAGAATTTTTAAGGAGCATAAAGATCTGAACAACTATCAGGATTTTTTTCTGTAAAATCTTTTTTAGCAGGACGAATATGACGAATATGACGAATATGACGAATTTGACTTTAAAGAAAATATATTTTTATTAAACCCATAGAAAACATGCATGAAAAAATCATCAAAACATGTTAGTATGGGTATATCTAAAGATTCGTCTAAGCCCACTGATTAGGGTCTTTTTTAATTTTTCTATGTTTTAAAAATTTTAAATTTTAAAAATTGCCCAAAAACTCTGACAAAGTTTCCATCTTAAAACTTGTTAAAACTCGGTTTTTGAATTTAACTTTTTTATTTGTGAATTGATTCGGACGATCATAACGTTTTTGATACCCGTACAGTCATATTTTGATACCCGTACAGTCATATTTTGATACCCGTACAGTCATATTTTGATACCCGTACAGTCTTTGATACCCGTTCAGTCATATTTTGACCAAAAAATATTATGCTTTTCTTGTCCTTGCAATATTGACTTGAGAGAAACGACTTTTTCTTAAAAATGTTTCATTATTTATTGGATGTACAATGTACATTGTAGAATATATCCAGTTAGATTAACCAAGTGGGATTTCTGAAATCTACCGTCTTTAATATCCACTTTAAGACTCAGTCTCAGAATAAGTTTCCATTTTAATTTGGATTTTGATGTTCTGTCAATAAAAAATATTCTTACCCATATGAAGTGCAGTTTATTGTAGAAGGGCCATAATGACAGATATTTTCTACTTTGAAGTCAATCAGACACCCTTCAAATCCACCAGATTTTTGTCCTAAATGTTATCAACAAATAAATAAATAATTTAATTATTTAAAAATTTGGTTTCTGTAAAGAAATGACTTGCGCATTTCTACTGCAGAAACACTTTTACACAAAGAATTACGACCATATCTTCCACATTATTAATCAGATAAAGGTTTAGTAAGAATCAGAAGACTCTGGAATAAGAATACGAATTTTAGACTTTTAAGTTATGACTTTTAATGAACCAATGAATGTATAAGACACATGACACATCGATATTTAGTTGATATTTCATAATATTTTTTATTTGTTTTATATACAATAAACTTAAAACAATGACTTAAAATGACTATTTTTTCCGCTAGGTGTCTTTGCCACGTAGAATCATTCAGAGCATCGAGAGCAGAGACACCTGGCGACCAACTAATCGGCGTTTTAAATGCATTGCATGTAAAAATAAAAAAAATATTATAAAATATCAACTTTATTCAAATGCGTCAACAAATTATCAATGATTATATGTTGTAATATCTGAATGATTTGTTGGAATTAAATTGATTTTTTTACGATCTGAGTCTATTATTGCAACTTTCTGAATTTGTATGGACGCTATGTTCTTCGGTATGAGTGGTTTTTAACCATTTTCTTCGTATAGACACAACAGATAGAAGTAAGATTAGTAGCCTTCACCATCAAACATTCATCGCCGAGAGCCTATACCCCTTTTTATTTTTCGCGTACACTCCCTTTAAACTATATAGGATCAAGGACAGCTCTTGTTTAAACTCACCAAGTTTAATTATGGAGTTTCTGTAGTCTTTAAAATCTTCTGTCTCAACAAAATCATACGGAGAAGTATCATCTACTTCGATAAATACATTTACACCCTCAATACTATTCTACTGGTCTTTATCATCATCATCATCATCATCATCATCATCATCATCATCATCATTATTGTTATTATTACTATTGTTTATTAAAATGATCAGGCAATCTTGATTCAAATTAAAATTACTAAAAAGTTTGCTAGACCAGTATTTTCCTGAATTTTATATCGTGAATTAAACCATCATTAATCATGTTTGGAAGAGATAATGTGCGTCCTCGTTCTGTATAGAACGTTAATTTCCCACCCTTCACTGCCAGACTGTAAGATCTAAACAAACAAAAAATGTCAAGAATCTTAACAAAAATTCCATCATAAAGGTGAGTAAAAAAAAGGGTGAATAGCGACATCTTGCATATAATGAAACATTTTTTTTTTGGAAACTCAATTTTGACAAATAAGTTTAATTTTTGTTTTAATAGGCAATCTGACCCTTTAAAAGTCCGTGAAACTATATTTTATTTGAAATCAGATGAGTAGAAAAACGAAAGGGATGGAGTTTATTATTTCTATCACACCTTAAAATCTTAAACAGAGTAGTTTCGAAGAAATTGGGCATGTGGAATTTGGCAGAACAAATGGTCACGAAATAAAAAAAAATCATATTTTTACCTAAAATTTTCTCCCGCCTGGGATAGAATTACCCCGTCCTCCTGCTTTGTAACAATACCAAAAGTAGTCTCTACTCTGAAAACAGAAAAAAGTAGTCTCTACTCTAAAAAACAGACAAAAGTAGTCTCTACTCTGAAAACAGACAAAAGTAGTCTCTACTCTGAAAACAGACAAAAGTCTCTACTCTGAAAACAGACAAAAGTAGTCTCTACTCTGAAAACAGACAAAAGTAGTCTCTACTCTGAAAACGAACAAAACTAGTCTCTACTCTGAAAACAGACAAAAGTAGTCTCTACTCTGAAAATAGACAAAAGTAGTCTCTACTCTAAAAAACAGACAATATCGTAAAAATAAATGGTATTGTTATAGATTTGCAGTTTTGTCCAGACAAGCAACATTTATAAAAAAAGCAAAAAAAAACAAAATATTTTCAAAACATTTTTAATTTGGTTTTAATCGAGTCTTTTTCAAAACCGAATGTTGAATTTGTCGTAAAAAATGTGTTTATTCTGTATCTGTATCTTTGCCTTTTTCGATTATAATCAAAATATCTCCCTGTGTCTCTAAAATGTTCGAATATGATCACAAAGTCTCCATTTACTCTCTGAAACATTATTTACTTTCTTTCTTTCAATATTCTGAGTTCATTATTTTTATTTTTTTAAATACGAGCAAAGGAATTGAGTCTTTGGAACAAAATCAAATATTTAAGCCTCAATATCTTTAGAACACGATGTTGTAAACCTTTAATATTTCAAACTCAGATTATTTGATCTAACAGAATTCATAGTTTAAAATATCTAAGGTCTGCAACATTTGGTTCCAAAGTTATAGTGATTAGAAAATCAGAGTTTGTGGCAAAGATACAATTCTTTTCTCTTTTTATTTGTTTAGAACTAGTCTCTCTGTTCTTTATTTATAAATATTTAAAGATATAGTCTGGAACTGTTTGTCTCTTGTTAGACTTTATTGAATATAGAAATGCTTTTTTATCTCTTTTCGGACATTGTCAAAAACATATAATGTGCACATCTCTAGTCGTAAAAAATAACAGAATCCACGCCAATACAGACGTAAGAACCAAGTTTTAACCAAAAAAAAATACTTTTAATCTAGATTGACACGTACTGATAAAATAAAAGAGAAATGTAAGACCATCAAATTTGAGATTTCAATCTTCTTTTGAAGATTTGTATTTTGAGGTACTATAATCTACATTATTCGAAATCAATATCTATGTCGAAAACTTTTAATTTGATGGTACACCCGTGAAGAATACTCACTCTTATGTTTGATAAGAAGATTTTGTCCGACCTTTGTAGTTTACTTAGGGGGCCAAACTGCAAATATGGTTGTTTGAGTTTAGTTTAATTTAGTTTAGTTTAGTTTAGTTTAGTTTAGTTTAGTTTAGTTTAGTTTAGTTTAGTTTAGTTTAGTTTCGTTTAGTTTAGTTTAGTTTAGTTTAGTTTAGTTTTGTTTTGTTTAGTTTAGTTTAGTTTAGTTTAGTTTAGTTTAGTTTAGTTTAGTTTAGTTTAGTGTGTCCAATATCAGTTTTATATCTGCAGCCTTGCAAGTATAAAATTAGGTCCCCAAGCAACCAATTCTACAGAACAATATCTACAAGGTGATTCTGAAAAATGTATGTTTAGGCTTTTTTTGGGGTCGTCGTTGAAACATTTAACTCTAATATTCCGTTTGAACCTTCAAAATTAGGCGTAATTTTCGAAAATATTCTCAGTCCCAGTTCCAAAGATATAAATTGCGTTTTCACCCACTAGACGTCGTTTTATTCTAATACAACGTGTGACCAGCAGAAACAATGTCAATGCTTGGTTGGGGGGGGGGTCGTCGTTGAAACATTTTACTTTAATATTCCGTTTTAACCTTCAAAATATACTCGAAATGTAGTCGGTCTCTTTTCAAAAGATTTTAAAAAAGATTTTAAATCTTTTTTTTGTCTTTTAGTTTTACAAATGCTCAATTCTATCGTTGAAAATGTGAAATTTATTCTATTCTGTCGCAAAAAACGTAAAAATATTATAATTTGAATTTTTTAAAATCATTGAAAAAGAGACCGAGAAATTTTCGAATATTAGTGTCGTTTTGAAGGTTAAAACGGCATTTTAGAGAAAACTATTTCATCGACGACCCCCCTCCCATGTAAATGGGTATTGTACCTATTAGAAGCACTATTCAGCACATTATAACGATATTTGTTGCTAAAAAGCCTAAACACACGTTTTTCAGAGACACCCTATGTATATATATAAAATAGTAAATTACAGTAATATCTGTTTGTCTGTCTGTCTGTTTGTGTGTCTAATGATTTTTTTGCATTTTTTATTTTTAAATTTTGAATGTTTTGAAAATACTCTTTAAATATTTTTATGATATCAGATGAAAATATTTTGACATTTCTATATTTCTTGTTCTTCATTTTCTTCTTGTTCATACTTCTTTCAGTATTATGGCTAATTTAAAAAAAAATTTGGGGGGTGATATCCTTGCAGTTGCCACACTACAAGTAAGAACTATACTGTAAGGGTCAATTGATTTTCTTCTGAACTCTGTATTGTTTGCACATGTGATATATGACTCATTTTCTTGAATATTTTACTTAGGGTAAATTAAACAGAAGGGGGGGGGGGGGGGTAGTCTCCTAGCCCCTTCTCTAATGTTTTCTCCTTCGCCATCAGAAAAAATTTACAGTGTAAATAGAGATTTTCCTTAAGATTTTTCCTGTTCAATTTTCTTTTTTCTTCTTGTTTATTGTATCTACGCGTTGAGGCCTCTCCAAATAGTTTTTATGACATATGTCTAATGTTAAATGAGGAACTCCTTTACCGATTTGCTTACGTCAAATCAAAGAAAATTACAATGATATCTCCTCTTTCTCAAGAGCAATTGAAAAGAATGAAAAAAGTACATTCAATGTTGTTACAGAGCAAATAGCTGTACTGGTTAGCTATAAAATCACTGATCAAATAAAATGGGTCTGTTTACACTGCACAATTGCTGTGTCTCATGTTCACATGGACTGTTGCAAATTCATAACTTTAGTTTAAAAGTCGACTTACAGAGTTTTCTGGTTATCACTGTATCCTCACACTTTAAAATCCTTATATCTTTTCAACCTTGGTGTAGTAGATCATTGTACCTAACTGGGAATTCTGTTAGATAAGTATAGTCAAAGATTGAAATATCAAAGATTTACAGACAGCATCAGGTTGTAGAGATATAGGAAAAAGAAATGTTAGTTTTAACTTTTCAGTTCCTTAATGGACAGATTTTCCCAAAATGGATTGATATTGTAACTATTCAAATACATACCTGTGAGCATTATCAAAGTTGAACAATTTGTGATTAAAATCTATAAATCCTCCGGGCTGAAATCTAGAATATAATTATAATCATTATTATAAAGGGGAGTGTTTTGTTATAGCAGAGACAAATAATCAAATAGAAAGAGTAAACAATTTAAGATGGAAAACCGACGATATCTTCCCCATTGATGTTCAGATAAAGGTTAAAACTGTTGTAAATCAAGTAGACAACTCATTAAATGCTGGGTCACTTGAAAATACGTCGTCAATCCCTTTAGATAAAGGGATTACGTCATTAAAATTTAGAATAAACCTTCCTTCCAATGAAAACGTTAATACAGATCGTTATCAATTTAATTACTCTATATCTGACGCTTGAGATGTATTTTACGTCATTTTCTACTAGATACATAATAAATTAGTTGTTTTACCTTAGTGTCAATGAAATAGACAAGTGAACCTATATATAAAAAGGGTTTCGTATCCGATTCATGTCTGAGCAGAACGATATCTACTCGTTATTCTTGTTTTTTTTTCTAGCTTAAAAGACATCCTATTTTAACTCTTTTTCTACTAGGGGTAACTCGCGCATTTCTACTGTAGATAGAATTGGAGGAAATTTTATGAATTTAAAAATGTTCCAGATAATTTCAGTTTTTTTTTAACTTTGTGACAGAAACAATCTTAAGAACTGACGAGGGTCAACCCAGACCGAAATATATTTTCAATAAATGTGGAACTAACATCTACTTATTTCACTCTACAGAGGTTTGGTCCATTACCATCACCGAATTTTAAATGATGATATCTTCCACATTTTGGTGAAGGTGTTAAGGGTACCGTTGTGAATGGATCCTGGCCCTATGTAAACGGAAGGTCTCTTGAAATTACAACGGCAGTTCATTTTCTGGATTACTTGCAGGAAACTGTCTCTATGAATTAGAGTAAGAATTCTTAGATATTTATTTAACATGGGACGCAAGTTCTTAGCCGTGCTTATGTTTAAATCGTGACACTCAGTGCAGGTTTGGTCCCCATTGCGGGTTGGAACATTCTTCCCCTGACATAATATGTCCGCGATATGATGCTTACCTGATTACATTACTGGGCTGGCTTGTATTTGTCAATTCCTAAAATGTTTACAGTTTAAATATGAGAAGGGGGCAGGAGATTAAAGTTTTTTTTTAACAGGAGAGGGGGGGGGGAGGAGGATACCTAACCTAACCCACTCCCACCCGGTCTTTTTAAATGAGAGCTATTTTAAAACTTTTGAAACTCGAAAGAACAAATTATATTGGTTTGAATTCCTAGCAAAATTATTGAGGCAATTTATAAATTGTTTACTTCTGCCAGATTTATAGGTATTCATTTCGGATTTATATGTATACGTTTCGGATTTATTATACTTTTTAATTTATAGGTATACGTTTTGGATTTATAGGTATACGTTTCGGATTTATAGGTATACGTTTCGGATTTATAGGTATACGTTTCGGATTTATAGGTATAAGTTTCAGATTTACTATACGTTTCGGATTTATATGTATACGTTTTGGATGTATAGGTATACGTTTTGGATTTATAGGTATACGTTTTGTATTTACTATACATTTCGGATTTATAGGTATACGTTTCGGATTTATAGGTATACGTTTCGGATTTATATATACGTTTCGGATTTATAATAGGTATAAGTTTCAGATTTACTATACGTTTCGGATTTATATGCATACGTTTCGGATTTATATGTATACGTTTCGGATTTATAGGTATACGTTTCGGATTTATAGGTATACGTTTCGGATTTATAGGTATACCTTTCAGATTTATAGGTATACGTTTCGGATTTATATGTATACGTTTCGGATTTATATGTATACGTTTCGGATTTATAGGTATACGTTTCGGATTTATAGGTATACGTTTCGGATTTATAAGTAAACGTTTCGGATTTATAGCTATAAGTCCCAGATTTATAGCTACAAGACCAATATTTATAACTTAAAGTCACGGATTTATAGCTATAAGTCCCATATTTAAAACCTTAAGTCCCAAATTTATAGATTCGTTTTGTAAAAATATATATAAATAGGTTGAAAAGAGAGAAAAATCCAACCGGGGAATCCAGTCACATCCTAAAAAAACTAAGCAATTCTTTTGTCCAATTTGACATTTGGCGCTAATAACCAGCGAAGACCCAATTCTTTGACTGATTTAAATCTCGTCGTTTTTAAAGTAGAAAAAGATGTAAATGTATATTTACCTTTTCACAAATAAATCCCGCCAGGAAATCACAAGGCTGAGAGTCCAATTCATTATAATTATTGAAGAGGAGACAATGCTCATCATCTTTCTACAATAAATACAGAGTTACTCAGCAAGAATGAAACTTCAATAAAGACCCGAAACTCTTCGAACCTGATAATTCGATTAACAGTTTGAGTTTGGGTTTCTACCTTGAATGGAGTGTTCGCGAGAAATGAAAGGGGGTTGACGACGAATTGAATTCGATTTCGATAACTAATAATTTTACTTCTAACTGTTGCGTCATAAGAAGGAAACGGTAAGAAACGACTCATACCGAAGAGCGTAGGACCCTGACACCCTTCACGGAGTTGCATTATTCCACTCAGATCGAAAATAGTTGAATTACTACTTATTTGGAAATTGCAACCTATAATTGTCGAATTCATTTTGATTCATTCGTAAAAAGTTGATATTTCAAGTTTACAGGTGCAGGGAAACATATAAAGCATAGAGTATAAAACGAAGAGGTGAAGCTTAGCTCAGATGTACACAACCAACCTCCCTATTAATTAATTAATAGAGTGGTAGGTTGTATACATCACAATATGTTTACGTATCTGACGCTGTACACTTGTATATAGAGTGATCGTATTTCTAAAGGGAGGTTTTATGGACTTGACCAATTTTTAGACTATCTTTCTTTATTTAAAGAGAATTCGATGATGTTGACTGCAAACATTTGACAATTTTCAAATTTGTAGGTTTTCAAATTATTAGCTAAAAGTTATGTCAAAAATATTAACTTCAAGGGCATGAATTTAACTTAAAACATTCTTTTTTCAAACATTTTCATTGTTTCTTCTCTTCAACTCTTTATGACAGTGTATGCAGGGTTACCCACTAAAGATGAAACAACGATGACGACCTGGAGCTCTTAACCCTAAACAGGCTGGGGGGGGGGGGACGTTTGGCTCCCCCCCTTTAATTTTTTGACTAATTTTTTGACTCTTCATAAATAGAAATTTAAAGGATTTTTTAAAACATATTTTTATGCATAAGGTAGGGTGCAGAGAGATAAAAAACCGGAGTATGTAAAAAAATCTAAAATAGCTCATAACTTTTTTATGACTAAAGCTACAGATCTGAAAACTATATTTTAGAAAAGCCCTTGAAAAATGGGCGTAGAAACATGTGTCACACTTACAAAACTGTTTAAAGAAAAAAATAGTTTTTACATTTTTTCTACCTTTTTTTGAATTTTTCGACCCTCCCTAGCACTATAAAAGTTATAAAAGTTCGATCTAATTTTATTTCAATGATCGGGCCTTGAAAAACTTGGTAATGAACATGCATTAAAACCCTATACCTATTCGCTAAGGCCTTTTTCTTATACTAATATTCAAATATCTACATAAAACCACCCCTTAGAAATACGATTATTCTATATACAAGTGTACAGCGTTAGATACGTAAACATATCGTGATGTATACAACCGACCACTGTATTAATTAATTAATAGGGAGGTCGGTTGTGTACATCTGAACTAAGCTTCACCTCTTCGTTTTATTACTCTATGATATAAAGTAAGAATAAAGACCGAATACGTTCTGTACAGTCGTCTCTAATTGTGGGAAACCCATAAAATATTTTTCATCTATACCACAGACACTTTTATACTTGTAACCTTAAAGGACTGTCGACAGACAAGTGAAATAAATTGGCAGAATTCAACACTTCTCGTGATTTAACAGCGGCAATATTTTCCTCAATATTGGTCAGGAAAAGGTAAATAAGGTACTGTTGTAAATCGTGCATGCTTCACTTTATATGGAGGAACATTTAAAGTTGTTTCTACATTTTCTACAGTGTCTTTATACATGTACTATTGGAGACCTACAATATCTTATTGGAGACCTACAATATCTTATTGGAGACCTACAATAACTTATTGGAGACCTACAATATCTTATTGGAGACCTACAATATCTTATTGGAGACCTACAATATCTTATTGGAGACCTACAATAACTTATTGAGACCACCTACAATATCTCATTAGGGACCTTCAATATCTGAAATACCTGTACCTGTACCTGTGCCTGTGCCTGTACCTGTACCTGTACCTGTACCTGTACCTGTACCTGTACCTGTACCTGTACCTGTACCTGTACCTGTACCTGTACCTGTACCTGAGCATATCCTGGAAAGACGTTATTTTGAATTTTGACTCCTGTTGAAGCAAACACCCATTCTCCCTGAACATTTTGTTTACTAGTTTTTAATTATATTTAAAAATGAAGAGACTGGCAAGTGATATAGGTCCGTTTCAGAAAGCGTATTTGTTAAAAAAAAGTATTTATTTGAGACAAAAGTTGTGTCTCGTTGTAAATTTATAAGAAAGATTCTCAATTTTCGTTTTGACACAAATAAAAAGTTCTTTCGTTGATCGAGTGTGGAGGATTTAATTGAATAGCGACACATTTTTGGTATTCATAAATAATTTTTTTGGCATTCAATCATTCTTCTTTAATCAAAGCAATCTGCTTAAAATCTTTTTTAAAATGTTAAACATAAAAATTGATTATATTATATATCCAGATAGATCATTCGCATCAACCCAAACATTGGCAGATATATACTTACATATTTAGCTAGATCATTCGCCCCAACCCAAACATTTGCGTCGATATTACGTGGGAAATTGCTTGCACTTCTCAGAGATTCAGTTAGTTTCCCATTCTCAGCAATACATCGGTACTTAGCTTTAAACCAGGTCACTTTCTCCTAGAATTATAGTTATAATAATTGTTATTATTATTATTATTATCATTATTATTACTATAACTTTATTCTCCTTTCTCCATCTGTGCGTCCGCAGTTTCTCTTTTTCTTGCCTCCTTTTCGAGTTAATAAATAAATAATAAATAACGACTTATTGTGATAAAATCAAATAGTGATTATCATTCACAGTTAATTATGAAACAAAAAGATTATCGGTTCAGCAGTCTCTGGATATGAGGAATAGCAGATTTTCTATATTTTTCTGTCCTGGCATGATTAACATGATACTGCTCCTGGTGGCGTAGTTGATGTTCATATGGGTGAACTGCAGCAGGGAAGAGATGACGATGTTTAGAAGATTTAATACATTTCTTTGCAAAAGAGAGGAATAGCTTGTCCCTTCTTGACTCCAGGGTCTCCAGTTCACAGGACTCCAGTGCACTTATATATCCAACAGAATCTTTGCCTAGAATAATTTCTAGGCAAACTCTCTGTATCCGTTTTAGGGAATTGTTTTGGTGAACCGTGAGAGAAGAGTGCCATACAACACAACAGTACTCGACAATACATCTGATAAAGGTTTTGCAGCCTCAGCACTGAACATTCTGTCTACTTGCATTGGCAAAGTCATCACTTCTAGCACTTCAAGTTAGTTTCTATTTCCAGCGAGAGATCAATAACTTCTTGGCTATGAACCACACATTATTACTTTCCTTAACAAGAAGGGTTGCTTCTAGATGAAGGATAATCAAATAAGCTGCTCAGTGGTAATTTTGTTGTATGATCAACTTTCGCTGCTTGTGAGAAGGTTAGTCTGTAGGTAGGGGAGAGTTGGAGATGAGGATAAGGGTTTGTAGGAGTGGTAGGGTTTCCAGTCGTTATTACGTTACGCGTAATTACGCGTAACACTTTCTTTCACTTACGCAGGAGCATTACGCGTAATTACGCGTAATTATTACGTTTACGTAAGAAAGTCGAGTTTCGCGTAATTTATGCGTAATTACGCGAAATTACGTAATACGAAACAATTCCGTAATAAATAAAGTACATATTAATTCTCAGAAATAATTATAGCGGGAAAGTATGTGTAAGGATATGCCCGCTACAACCATGTCAAACATATTTTGACGATTTTACATTTTTAGTTGTCGAACGTGAAAATTACATCAACAATAGTATTGGCTGAACTTTCTGATTCAACTTGCGTGACATTATTTTCCTTGTAAGTTAGTTGTTTTATTTAAATTAAAAATTAAATCTTCAAAATCTCATAGATGTAATTATTGCAAATTTTCGCAAAATTACTTTGTAGAAATTACGCGAAATTATGGCGTAATTTCGCGAAATTGAAGTTTCGCTAATTATACGTAATTAATACAAAAATTCGCGAAATTACCTCGTAGATATTACGCGAAATTACGCCGTAATTACGCGTTATTATAGTTTTGCTTATTACGCGTAATCATTTTGAAATTTCGCGAAATTACGTTGTAGAAATTACGCAAAATTACGCCGTAATTTCGCGAAATGGATATTTCCCCAATTACGCGTAATCCTGCGAAATTACACGAAATGAAAATTATTACGCGTAACTGCACGTAATTACGCGTAAGAGAATAATCTATTACGTTGGAAACCTGGAGTGGTGTATTAGGAATGTTTCGTTAAAGTCAATCCATTTGCCCACATGTTATACTGGTTCCCAGTCTAACGGAATTTTTCAGGAAACATCGCATTTAGTGTGCACCATCTGAAGAGTAATCCCCTTTTAACAGCTCTGCTTAGTGAGAAGGGACAGAGCCCTCCCAGAAAGGGCTCACTTTCGCTCACTAATTGGAGTGGATATAAAACCGGATAAGTATTAGACTTAGTAGCTCTTTATTATTCCTATTTTTTGACTTAGTACCCTGGCTGAGACTACTCTTGTTAAGAAAAGGGCTAGCTAATTGAGCACAAGGTTCAGGGCCGCTTGGCCCTCCCTCCCTCCCAGTCCCCCCTTTCTCAGCGTCCACTGCAAATAGTGCAGAGAGCTACCAGAGCTCTGTTATCCTAGGCTGTAGGAATGCAACTGATTATCATTTTTTATTATTATTAGAATTATTTATTATTATCATTATTATCAGATGTTTAAATCGAATGAATTCTTGTTTTTAATACTTAATCAATAAATTATCACATATTATAAAATCATTATTAAATGCTCATTGATTATTATCCAAGAGGGTTAAAGGATCATTGGGATTAACTAGAGCATGAAAAAACATCCATACATATAATGTATATATTTATCAATATCTGTCACAAAAATATATAAATCCAGTATACAGAAACATAGTTGTAAGAAAGGAAAGTAAAAATATAAGTAAGTCCCAGAAGACGGCAAACGAGACAGTAAAATAAAAATTCTTATCTAAAGAAACAAGTATGAAATATTTAAATATAAATTGATAGCTTTTAACCCCCCCCCCTGCAGATTGCTTAAGGTGAAGACATTTATTTAAAACATTTAAGAATTAAAGCAATAACAATACTTTAAAATTAAATATGTGATGCAGACAGTCACACTCACAGTCACACTCAATTAGAAGCGGAATTTCTAAAAGATCGTCTTTAATCTTAGAATTAATTTGCAGCAATCATTTGTCAATCTAACTTTACAAGTATAGTTATTAAAACTAAATTACAAAAGTCCCATTGCCATTTCCAAATTGTGTTCTGCTTTTTTTTACTTGGAGATTTTGGTTTCACTTAAGAAATTGAAATCTAAACGAAATTCTTTATGCTTCTGGTGGTTTAGAAAGTACAAAAAACCAGAACACATTTTGGAAATAGCAGGACAAGAAGTATTTTTCAAGAATTATACTCTTTTAAAACTGGGAAACAAATAAGGAGCAAATTATTTCAAAAATCCAAGACGATTTTCAAGTCTTTTCGATAAATTTATCATTGTTTATAAATCATCGTCTATATATTTCAAGGGACTGGTATTGATAACTGTCTATATTTCAAGGGACTGGTATTTATAACTGTCTGCATTTCAAGGGACTGGTATTTTTAACTGTCTATATTTCATGGGACTGGTATTGATAACTGTCTATATATTTCAAGGGACTGGTATTGATAAATGTCTATATTTCAAGGGACTGGTATTGATAACTGTCTATATTTCAAGGGACTGGTATTTATAACTGTCTGTATTTCAAGGGACTGGTATTGACAACTGTCTATATTTCAAGGGACTGGTATTGATAACTGGCTGTATTTCAAGAGACTGGTATTGATAACTGTCTATATTTCAAGGGACTGGTATTGATAACTGTCTGTATTTCAAAGGAATGTTTTTTATAACTGTATACCTGAAAGTTTTTAAGGCAGACACCGTTGGCCTCTGTCCATCCCGTATCACATCTCTGGGCGCTTTAAAAAAAATCTTTTGAACTTAAAAAATTGTAATTGTGAAAAACTACACCTTCCAAACTTTTATGTAATGGACATTTTCAATTTTCACATACAGGATTGCTCACAAAGGATAAGACTTCAATGACGATCCTGAATTCTAAAAAAAGAATTTTATTTTTTTGTTTGGCTATAGTTGTGAAATGTTACATGGTGTTCCAATAAACATGGGAATTAAATTAAGAAGGTTCAAATGTTTAATAACTCCGTCGATTTCAAATATACGAAGATGGTAGACCACATTTTGGAAAGCTCATTAGACTTTAAACCTTTTCTTGATGCACTTTATGTCATTTATCAATAATGGGAAATGAAAGACGATATTCAAGTCGTCCTTCCACCCCATGTTTATTGGGACACCCTGTATGATGCTCCATGTGATTCGATAAAGTTATATACAGGTTTAAAATTGCAGGGGGAATTAAAAATTTAAGAAAAAAGAGTAATTCTGAACAGTCGATTCTAAAGTTTCATTATTTTTGAGTAATCGTGGTGTACAATTACACAATTTTAGTTATTTCTGTAGAAATCCACAATAATTTCTAAGGTATGGCTCAAAAAACGAAAACAACTGTGTAAAAACAAATTTATTGCGTAACTAAAGTGAATGGTTATAACGTGGTTCGTTGTTGTTATTTTTGTTGTTGTTGTTGTTAAGGTTTTCGGACTTTTAAAGGGCACCTGCACAAAATACAGTTTTACAAAATAACATATATATTTTTTAAAGTTAATATTTTCGAGCAGTGCAATCATTTTATCTCAAAATAATAAGGAAAAAACTACCAAATCTCGATCTCATGGTTAAAATTTGACAGTATGGGAAAAGTAAATGTTTGGAATTACAAATATGAAATTTGTATTTTAACCCCTCAGATTTATGTTGAACTTTTAAAAGTCCAAAAGCCTGAATGTTTTTAAAACGTTACTGCCCCTCACTATACAAACAATTATGACAATTTATAGAAAAGACATTTTAAACTATTCACCAACATTGTTTTTGAGACACCCTGTATATAACAAGGTTTACCGAATATAGATGCTAAATACAGGGGTATGAGGTAGTAAACTGTATAAAACAAGGTGTACCGAATAAGAGGTGCTAAATACAGTAGGATGAGGTAGTAAATTGTATAAAACAAGGTGTACAGAATAAGAGGTGCTAAATACAGTAGGATGAGGTAGTAAACTGTATAAAACAAGGTGTACAGAATAAGAGGTGCTAAATACAGGAGGATGAGGTAGTAAACTGTATAAAACAAGGTGTACCGAATAAGAGGTGCTAAATACAGGGGGATGAGGTAGTAAACTGTATAAAACAAGGTGTACTGAATAGAGGTGCTAAATACAGGAGGATGAGGTAGTAAACTGTATAAAACAAGGTGTACTGAATAGAGGTGCTAAATACAGGAGGATGAGGTAGTAAACTGTATAAAACAAGGTGTACCGAATAAGAGGTGCTAAATACAGAAGAATGAGATAGTAAACTGTATTCTTCATATTTCCTCTCTTTACTAATTCATGGACAGATACTAACTGATAACGGTTACACACTACACATAGGGAATAGAGAAAACATGGGAGATTATACTATTTGTTTTTCAAATACATGATATCAACTTTTATGATTTCCACTTATTACACTTCAAAATCAAGACTTTTTGTTAACTCCACCCCCTAGAAATGGGGTGGAGGTAACATTTGCTCTATGTATTAAAAAAATCGCATTGCATGGAGTAAATAAATTTAAATTAAAAAATTTGAAAAATCTACTTTAACTGTCTCCATTTGAAAAATATAATTTTTTTCACAAGATGAAACATCTATATGCAGACCATGACATGTTATAACTATATCTTTTTGAGGCATTCACAAAGATTTCGAAACCGTTTTTTTTTGTAAACTTTCTAAGACTTATTTAATGTATCTTTAATCTTTCTCTGAAACAAAATTTAAAAAATCTAAATCTTTCTCTAATACAAGACACAATTGTAATAAAATATGTTTTATTGTTCCTCCATGAATATCACAATCCAATTTATTTAATAAATGCCCAGACTACCCGGACACATGATACACATATTTGGAAGACAATTTACAGGAACAAATTTAAAGTTGTTGGTAAGCGATTATATCAATATAATGAAGACGACTTTTTATTTTAGTTTAAATTGATAACAAGCTTTTTTGAATAACAAATTTACAAGCAATTAAAGAGAAGCTTTTTTAAACGACAGCTTCTCCTTGTTTCCATAACTTTGTGTATCAATACTGTTTAAAAGCTTGATATAAATGAAAATTGAAAGTCATCTTTATTATATTGCTTTAATTGCCTACCACAGTAGAAACAAATAAGATTCTGTTTTGTTAAAAATAATAAAAAAATCTTATTTTAAAAAAGCAAACAAGTGACTTTGCAGTTAAGATTAAAGTAAATTTTATACTTTATGTAAATCTTCTTTACATGTTTTTAATCATAATCTTGTTTTGTTGAGCCACGAGTTTACATAGTAAACACAACGCCATTTTTTACCAGTTTTATAAATCTTAAGCTTTTAAGGAAGCAAGTGCCAAGAGAGAGTGGTTGTGACTAAACCGCAGTATGGTAAAATGTAAAAATTAGAATTTGTTAAAAAAAATATTTCCTACAAAACATAATTGCTAGTAATAAATAATTTTGGAAGTTTGCTCAAACGACATGAACCATTTTAAAATTTTAATGTCTTGTTTGTCTAAATTCTTATGTTTATTGGGCCACCCAGTGCAACAAAGTTAAACGATTGTTACAATACTGAACTCTGATGATCTATTGAAGTCCTGACTCTACAGAAGGGGTGTAACACCATCGTTTAATAATGGGTCTCTGTTCTTTACCGGTTGCAACCCGGGACCTTAACAACCACAACAAAATTAATAAAAGAAAAAACGAGAAAATTTCCAATTTTTATTAAAAATATTTTTTAATATTTAAAATTTGGTTTTTGCTAATTAATGCTAGATGATGAAATAAACGTTAACAGCAAGAGACGAAGAAAAGGTATACAAGAAGACGACATTTGTAAAGTGCATAAAGTTGCTAGGCTGTACCTTGAACAAATCTCTTTTGGTACGTCAACACACTCTTCTATAGGTTCAAGTCTAAACAAAAGCATAAGATAAAATATAACAAAATTGCAAATATTTTGTATTATTTTTATTATGATTAAATATAACTTTCATCTTTATGAAAATAAAATTTAGAGCATAAAATTCACTTTTGAAACTTGAACAAATAATGAATATTATTATAACATAATCCTTTCTACTTGTAATTACTTGGACAGCCCTTTCAGGGTTTAAATTAAAACTAGAATATTTAGAATAAAATATTACTTTGGAACCATTTTGGTGACAAACTCACAAACTCTTTGTGGTTCTATGCTACACTCTTCTGACGGTTTTTCCTAGAAAAAATATTTGATTTTTTTCCATTTTAAATTTTTTTAATGCTCTGAGAGTTACCTGCACTATTGTTTTAATACTCTCTTCACAAATTTCAGGCCCCTAAATAATGAGATAATAAATTGTAATCTAAATATATGTTAACATATTGAATCTGTCTCACTCTTTTATCAACTATAGGAGAGATTAGTTCAGATTACCAAACGAAATACGAAGTATCCAGGCACCCAGCGCAGAGAGAACCTTTTTCTTTTCAATGACAAACCACATTTTCGAAATTGCAAGATTTAGACCGTTGCTAATTGTTATTCTGTCCCAGAAAAAAATGCCATCAAAGTCGTCATTTAATTGCCATGTTTAGGGACCAACTGGTCACATAATTGCCATGTTTAGGGACACACTGGTCACATAATTGCCATGTTTAGGGACCCACTGGTCACATTATTGCCGTGTTTAGGGGCCCATTAGTCACATTATTGCCATGTTTTTGGGACCCACTGGTCACATAATGGCTGTGTTTTGGGACCCACTGGTCACAATATTGCCATGTTTAGGGACACGCTGGTAACATAATTGAAATGTTTAGGGGCCCATTAGTCACATTATTGCCATGTTTTTGGGACCCACTGGTCACATAATGGCTATGTTTTGGGACCCACTGATCACAATATTGCCGAATTTTGGGACCCACTGGTCACATAATTGCCATGATTAGGGATCCACTGGTCACATAATTGACATGATTAGGGATCCACTGGTCACATAATTGACATGATTAGGGATCCACTGGTCACATAATTGACATGATTAGGGATCCACTGGTCACATAATTGACATGATTAGGGACACACTGGTCACCCAATTGTCATGTTCAGGGACACACTGGTCACATAATTGCCATGTTTAGGGACACACTCGTCACATAATTGTCATGTTTAGGGACACACTGGTCACATAATTGCAATGTTCAGGGACACACTGGTCACATAATTGCCATGTTTAGGGACACACTGGTCACATAATTGCCATGTTCAGGGACACACTGATCACATAATTGCCATGTTCAGGGACACACTGGTCACATAATTGCCATGTTTAGGGACACACTGGTCACATAATTGCCATGTTCAGGGACACACTGGTCACATAATTGCCATGTTTAGGGACACACTGGTCACATAATTGCCATGTTCAGGGACACACTGGTCACATAATTGCCATGTTTAGGGACACACTGGTCACATAATTGCCATGATTAGGGATCCACGTTACCTCTTTGAACCCGCAGCCTGGGGGAGCACATAGTTCGGTTGGAATTTTCTCGCAGGTTGTCTCAGGGGAATACTTTTTTATCTTTTTCTTTACAACAGTGCACTCGTTCCTAAATTGGAAATTTAAATAATAAATCTTTCTTTCATCCAAATGTGGAAAAAAAAGTGAAATTCGGAAAATTTCCTTCAATGTTTCTGCAGCAGCATTTCGCAAGACATGATTGCAATTTAAAGGGAGTGACCGGCAATGTATGGTAGTTGAACGGAGAATTTAGTATTGTGGAGAAATTCATTAGGATTCATTTGAGTCATATAAAACGTTTTAATGGTGTATTATTATTGAGTTTGAGCGCAAAGTCGACATTCAGTATCATCCATTTGAATGGTCAAGTTTTGAGAATCGATTTTTTAAGAATTAATAAATAATGAAGACAGAAAATATAACAAAAATTCTACAGTATACTAGTTAGTTGGTTAATAAAAGGTTGAAAAATAAACATTAACTCTTTCATCGAACTTCTATCATTGTTCACAAACATTTTCAGTAGGTTTTCTGGAATTTTTTATTGAAAAGACGAAATTTTAAGAATTTGTAGAAATCTGCGAACAAATTCGTTAAGAACAAGAAATTCAATATAATGATTAAAGCGAAATAATTGATTCTAACTTTGATTTATTGACAAATTTCTATTGATAAATATGCTCCTTAACATCTAAGCAGTTTACTGATGAGTTTTGATACATTTTTCGTCGTCGTTATTTAATAATTATAAAAACAATCGATTCTCAAAACGTAACCTTCCAAATAGATGATTTTAAACGTTTACTTTGCGCTCAAATTCTTAATTTTACATCAATTTGAGAACTTATAGAACTTTTAATGATGTAACATCATTAAAACATTTTATATGTCTCACTCAAATGAATCCTAATTTTTTTCTCCACAATACTATATTCTCAGTTTAACTAAAAATCCCTTTAAACTCAATTTTTAAAGATAACAAAATTAATTTTTGATTAGAATTAGTTTTAAATGGCACTCTTGAGAATAAATGTAGGGTCATTCAAAATAAAAAGGAAAGTCTTTTTAACAGTTTATAAAGCTTTAAATTATCAAATTTTCGATATTTTATTTCTAACATTCTCTTTAAACAATACCTTGGCCATTCCTTGCATTTGAGTTCAGTGGTGTACCCCAGGGCTACCTCATCGCATTGCTTCTGTACTACAGTCTTACATTCAGCAACATCTTCTTCAATCTAACAAAACCAAATACTGTGAGAACCAGATATCTGTGGTTTAGACGACATTTAGCCAACATTTCAGAGTAGTTGATGTTAATACAACGCAAAGTTTTACATTAGTAGCTTAAAAATCACTGATTAAAGGGAGTGACTGGCAATGTATGGTAGTTGAACTGAGATTGCAGTATTTTTGAGAATTTTTTTCAGGATTCATTTGAGACCTATCTTACATTTTTAAAGTGCATATTTGTTTAGCAAGGGTGCAAAAGAAATCTTTAAAATCCTCATAGATTGTCCATTTTGGAGGGATAATTTTGAGAATCGGTTTAAATTAAATTATTCAATGACGACCACGAAAAATGTAACAAAAAGAGTAACAGTAAACTAATTAATTGTTTGAGAACAGGTTTCGAAAATAAAAATTAACTCTTATCATCGAAAAAAGTAATCTTATTCAGTTATTGGTTTCTGTAATGTCTCATTGTCCACCATTTTCTGGAGATTTCCTGGAATTTTTATTGAAAAGACGACATTTGAAGAATTTGAAGAAATCTGCGAACAAATTCAAGAATAAGAAAATCAATTCAACAATTAGTTCTGACATTGATTTATTTTCAAATTTCTAATGAGAAACATGTTCCTAAACATCTTATTAATTTACTGTAAAAAATGTTACATTTTTCTACGTCGTTTTTGAATAATTTTTATAAAACCAATTCTCGAAATCATCCCTCAAAAATGTACATTAATGAGGATTTTTAAATTTTGAATTTGCGCTCTTCCTTAACAAATTTGCACCGTAAAAAAGTTTCATAAGTTTCAAATGAATCCTAAAAAGTTTCTCAAAAATACTGCAAGCTCAGTTTAACTACAGGGTGGCCAAAACTTTTTTGAACCCATCCGTACAAAAATCCGTACATTTTCAGAAGAAATCCGTACAATCCGTACAATTTTCGAAAAACAATCCGTACAATTCAATCCGTGCAATCCGTACAATCCGTACAATTTTAGGGTTAAAAAAAAATCAATCCGTACAATCCGTACATTTTGGCCACCCTGTAACTACCATACATTGCCAGTCACTCCCTCTAAGTGAAATGGTTTGTGAATTTGAATGTTCATTTATTTTAAAATCCTCAGTTTTCTGGTTCTCATTGTAAGTTAGCTTTAAATAGGTGTTTAAACAGGGGAGCAAAGAATCTGACTATAACGGTTTACGAAATTAGACGAAATAAGGTTGAAAGAAATTCTGATTAGAAAATTAGAGTTTGAGGTAAGGTTTCCTCTCAAAAAATAAAACTGGATGAACAATTCTTTATAATTTTTCACAATAAGTTGAAATCTGTATTGAATAGTCTGCATTCTGATCCATTATGAATTTGCATATTTCTGGTAGAAAAAAAACATTTAATCAATATTGATAACACAAAATTTAATTACAAATGGAGTCACAGGAGTTTACAATTGTACAATCTCTTGGAAAATTAACCCCCCCCCCCACCCCCACCGAGTTACCATCACCTGCACCTCCAGACTAAAAAAGCATTACCAAGAATCAAACCTATCTATATCAGGACAGGAACTGAGTCTTTACAACAAACTCTAATATTTTAATCCCTATTTTTTTTAATTCCAATGTCGTACACCTTTTATATTTCAAACTATAATTTTTGCTAAATAAATCTGAGTTTGAAATATCAAAGGTATAATACACTAAAAGGTTGCAAAAATATAGGGATTAGAAGATTGGAGTTTTTTTTAAAAGACTCAACTCCTTTAGGGTAAAATGTATTAAAACGGGGGATGAAACTTTGTTGCCTAAATTTTTATTTTCATATTTTTTCCCAACAAAATAAACACAATATTAAGCAACAATTCCAACCCAAGCCCCCCCCCCCCGTCAGAAACAAATTAAACCCTTATTGCACCTCATTTTCTGTATTGCGGGTTGAGCACTCAGATTCATATTCCGTTCTACAGATAGGCTTCCCACTCTTAGAACAATCCTTTACCAGAGGGCGCCTACAAAAATATGGGAATAATTTTATGAAAAATATTTAGGTTAATAAGAAACTTGTACCACAGAGCTGTAAACTAATGTTTTTTCAATAATCTGTAGATAATCTATATCTTTTTTCGAAGGTAATTGTCATAGAAAAATATATATATATATATAGATATATATACGGTAATCGTACGCAGTCAGGGGTAGAAGGGAGCTAATACAAAAATTCCCTGGTCAGAGCATTTCAGAACGGGCATAGAATGAGGAAAGAAGAAAAAATTAACTTTTTCAACAATATCTGATTATTTTCATAAAAACGAAAGCAGAAAAGTTTTCGAGCATATTTTTCGATAATGTTTCCTAATTTTAACCTGCATTTCTTCACGGTTGTATTAAAGGCAACAGGTTCCATATCAATAAAGCAGTTTTTCCTGTATGTTTCCTTACATACCTCCTCTTGTGTAGCCTAGAAGTAACAAGTTAAAAATACACAATAAAAAGCTAGTATTGTACCAGAAATCTAGTGGAGTATTATGTAAGATACCTGAAAGCTAGTTTAGTATGATGTAGGATACATGAAAGCTTTCAGAGTATGATGTAAGTTACCAGAAAGCTAGTGGAGTATGATGTACGATACCAGAAAGCTAGTGGAGTATGATGTACGATACCTGAAAGCTAGTGGAGTATGATGTAGGATACATGAAAGCTAGTGTAGTATGATGTAAAATACCTGAAAGCTGGTAGAGTATGGTGTAGGATAAATGAGAGCTTTTGGAGTATAGATGTAAGATACCTGAAAGCTAGTTGAGTATGACGTAAGATACCTAGAAGATAATGGAGTATCATGCAAGATACCTGAAAGCTAGTGGAGTATGATGTAAGATATCTGAAAGCTAATGGAGTATAATGTAAGATATCTGAAAGCTAATGGAGTATCATGTCAGATACAAAGCTAGTGGAGTATGATGTAAGATACCTGAAAGCTATTGAAGTATTATGAAAGATACCTGAAAACAAGTGGAGTATGATGTCAGATACCTGAAAGCTAGTGGAGTATGATGTAGGATACTTGAAAGCTAGTGGAGTATGATGTAGAATACCTGAAAGCTAGTGGAGTATGATGTAGGATACCTGAAAGCTAGTGGAGTATGATGTAAGATACCTGAAAGCTAATGGAGTATGATGTAAGATACCTGAAAACAAGTGGAGTATGATGTAAGATACCTGAAAGCTAGTGTAGTATGAAGTAGGATACATGAAAGCTTTCAGAGTATGATGTAAGTTACCAGAAAGCTAGTGGAGTATGATGTACGATACCTGAAAGCTAGTGGAGTATGATGTAGGATACATGAAAGCTAGTGTAGTATGATGTAAGATACCTGAAAGCTGGTAGAGTATGATGTAGGATAAATGAAAGCTCTTTGAGTATAGATGTAAGATACCTGAAAGCTTGTTGAGTATGACGTAAGATACCTAGAAGATAATGGAGTATCATGCAAGATACCTGAAAGCTAGTGGAGTATGATGTAAGATATCTGAAAGCTAGTGGAGTATGATGTAAGATACCTGAAAGCTAGTGGAGTTTGATGTAAGATATCTGAAAGCTAATGGAGTATAATGTAAGATATCTGAAAGCTAATGGAGTATCATGTCAGATACAAAGCTAGTGGAGTATGATGTAAGATACCTGAAAGCTATTGAAGTATTATGAAAGATACCTGAAAACAAGTGGAGTATGATGTCAGATATCTGAAAGCTAGTGTAGTATGATGTAAGATACTTAAAAGCTATTAGAGTATAATGTAGGATACTTGAAAGCTAGTGGAGTATGATGTAAGATACCTGAAAGCTAATGGAGTATGATGTAGGATACCTGAAAGCTAGTGGGGTATGATGTAGGATACCTGAAAGCAGGTGAAGTATGATGAAAGATATCTGAAAGCTATTGGAGTATGATGTAAGATACCTGAAAGCTAGTGGGGTATGATGTAGGATACCTGAAAGCTAGTGGAGTATGATGTAAGATACCTGAAAGCTAGTGGAGAATCATGCAAGATACCTGAAAGCTAGTGGAGTATGATGTAAGAAACCTGAAAGCTAGTGGAGTATGATGTAAAATACCTGAAAGCTAGTGGAGTATGATGTAAGATATCTGAAAGCTAGTGGAGTATGATGTAAGATACCTGAAAGCTAATGGAGTATGATGTAAGATATCTGAAAGCTAATGGAGTATGATGTAAGATATCTGAAAGCTAATGGAGTATCATGGAAGATACAAAGCTAGTGGAGTATGATGTAAGATACCTGAAAGCTATTGGCGTGTGATGTAAGATACCTGAAAGCTAGTGAGTGGTGGGGTATGATATAAGATACCTGAAAGCTAGTGGGGTATGATGTAGGATACCTGAAAGCTAGTGGGGTATGATGTAGGATACCTGAAAGCTAATGGAGTATGATGTAAGATACCTGAAAGCTAGTGGAGTATGATGTAGGATACCTGAAAGCTAATGTAGTATGATTTAGGATACCAGAGAGCTAATGGAGTATAATGTAAGATACATGAAAGCTAATGGAGTATGATGTAAGATACCTGAAAGCTAATGGAGTAATGATGTAAGATACCTGAAAGCTAGTGTAGTATGATGTAGGATACTTGAAAGCTAGTGGAGTATGATGTAGAATACCTGAAAGCTAGTGTAGTATGATGTAGGATACCTGAAAGCTAGTGGAGTATTATATAAGATACCTGAAAGCTAGTGGAGTATGATGTAAGATAACTGAAAGCTAGTGGAGTATGATGTAAGATACCTGAAAGCTAGTGGAGTATGATGTAAGATACCTGAAAGCTAGTGGAGTATGATGTATGACAACGTCTATCATAAGAATGATCACATTGAACTATTTCTTCATAAACTGTCTCCTCCACCATCATCACCTAAGGAAAAGTGCTTTATAGTTACAAATTCTTTAGTTTTATTTGTTACATAACAAATTGTTTATTATGAGTTTGAAAAATAAAAAACCACTTACGTCGTCTTCCTATTCCACAGTTTTACGGGTGTATTACAGGATAATGTTTACCTTGTCAACACATTTCTTTTTATCCTCTTGCCCTTGACTAGTTCCTTGTCCACTGCTTCCTATTCCACAGTTTTACAAGTGTATTACAGGATAATGTTTACCTTGTCAACACATTTCTTTTTATCCTCTTGCCCTTGACTAGTTCCTTGTCCACTGCTTCCTGTTAATTCAATTTAAAAAGCATAATTAAAAGCACTGTAAACGTATTTTTGCCATTTCATTTGAAGCGTTGAATGATAGTCTCTTCCCTATTCAGATCCTTATTAACGGAGATATCCTCTTTTTTCTACCCAAATTTTGTACTCGGAAACTTGAGAGAACACTGGCTTGGATTATAACCAGTGTTTACTCTAGTTTCAAGGCAGTTTTTCATTCTTGATAAAAAAAAGGTTTAAAGTGTTACTTCTCAAGTTCTAAGTATACAGGAAAGGGATCAGATTGGTTTGGTGATGAAGCTTGAAATCCATTTTCTGTTGAAGAATCAAGTTCCGAGGTTGTGGATTCTGAAACCAGATTTAATGAAGAGCGAAAAGTAGTTGAACCGAGTAGACGTAGCACTTCTCATTCGCACCGGTTCAAGAAGTGATTTAAAGGGGTTTTATGTACTATGTACACTGTACAGGCGTAATTTTAAGTAACCATCAATGCAAAGATGGCGATGCCTGATTTACAACGATAACCTACTGGAAACCTTAATCTGATCAATTGTGGAAGATACCGTCAAATTCTCCATTGCTTCTTATCAGAACGAAGGTCACTTTCGGAGAGAAACCGCAAATAAAAAGAAACAAAAGAAAAGGAAACAAAATCATGGATGTCTAATTCATACTTTTTTAGAGAAAGCTTATAAGGGTACCGTTGTAAATCAGGCATTGCCAACTTTTAACTTGAAATAACGCGTACAGTCCCTTTAACTACGTCTAGCGAATCAACTATGTCTACTAATAGATTAAGTCTGATTCCTGGAGTAGAAATAGTTTCTTCTTGAACCCCAGATTCTGTTGTTGTTGTCTCCTCTCCATCCCCTGATCCGGTAACAGGCTCATCTGTATTATCGTAGTCGATCTCGGGGGAACGTTTTTCTCCAGTACCTTCCAGAGCTTGAAGAAGATTATTGAAGCTTAAACTCGACTCTCCAGGAGAAGATTGTCTAAAATTACTAAAATTCATTTAAGATATGTTTTTCCGAAGAAATGTTTCTTACTATTTCACAAAACGTGCGTCGAAACGTTCCAGACAACCATTTAGGGAAAGTTCAAGCGAGAATTATGAACATTTTGGATAAATTTCGTCAAGTTTTGAACAAGTTTCAATTGGTATGATGCACAATGCAGAAAAGTTTCAGTTAGTTCAGAAAAATACGGAGAAGTTTCAGTTAGTCTCATGAACAAATTAGGTAAATTTTCAGCTAAAAAAATGAACAATTCGGAAATTTTTTTAGTTGGACTGAAAAAATAAGATGATCAAAATGCTTCCAATTTCCAAATAATTTCAGAAATTTTAGTTAGTTTGATGAACATCACGGAAATGACCATTGAGATTTGTTACTTGAGATGAATTTCAAAAATTTCTAAAGAAAATATTATTTTTGAAACTTTTGAGGGTAAAAATGAATAGAAAATAAATTTTAAATTATTATCTTTGTTTTTTACCTTTGAGCTAAAGAGTTTTGAACACCAGGAGCTGGAGTTCGTAAACCACTTCTTCCATCTGATCATTGATCAACATTTTATACCTTTTCAATACGCTATTTTGTAATTTAATTCTCTTTAACAACTTGAAAACGTTTTTTAAACAAATGTTGTTGTTGCATATAACCATAGTAGCCATAGAACCGTAGTAGCGTAGACATGGGAATTGGATGTAATTGGTTCTTTTGGTCACCCACTGATTTTCAAACAAATCATAATGGCTTTTGATCCATAGTTACTAATCACTAAACTCCATTATAGATACAGTGATAACTAGAAAACATTGGAATTCTTGTCGTCTTCTTTTCAGTATGAAATATCGATTTAGTAGTTTTTAGCCTTTTTCTTAATATATATTACTTGCAGTACTTGCTTAGGAACTGAGTTTTTGCCACAAACTATAATATTCAAATCCCTATATCTTTGCAACCTGAGGGTGTAAACCTGTGATATTTCAAACTTAAATTATTTGACCTAACTTAATTTATGATTTTACGAAAATAAAAGTCTATGGCATTGGATCGCAAGGATATATAGGGATTAGAAAATCAGAGTTTGTGACAAAAACTCAATTTCTTTTTAAAGTCCGTTGCGACATTTGAGAAAATTACTTGTATAAACAGAGATAACAAATGCAAGCGGAATTCCCACTTCCTCTAAATAAGAAACGCCACTAAAGAGATCTGTAATTTGATGTTATTTCTTTGAAAATTTATGTCCTGTTATAGGTGACATGGAAACGCATCAACACGGAAACGACTCAACACGGAAATGCCTCAAAAAAACAGAATCATAAAACTAATTTAATGTCGTCTTCTCTCAACTTAAAATTAAAAAGACTATATTCTACTGATTTTCACAGCCATGGCCGCAGCGCTCGGTATCCTAGCCTGTTCTAGCCGTAGCGCACGGCCCCCTAGCCTGTCCTAGTCTCAGCGCTCGGCCCCCTTATAGCCATCCTAGCCGCAGCGCTCGGCCCCCTTTGTAGCCTGCGGTGCAACCTAACTTACCCTAAATTAATGGTAAAATAATTGTTAAATTTTTTTTAATGTTAAAAGACGACATTTACTTAGTTTTATGATTCTGTTTTTTTGAGGCATTTCCGTGTTGAGTCGTTTCCATGTTGAGGCGTTTCCATGTCACCCCTGTTATATACTGCATTGCATACTTGAAGGGATTACTAAGCAATAAGTTCTCACTCAACTTCAGAAGTTCTTTTGTAGAAATTGAGATCGAGCTTGTTATAGATTAGCGCTATTGATTTTTAACCACCATTTTCTGAAATATGACAGTTTTGGGAATAACTTAATCCTTAGCGTTTTAGTTTTTTAATTAAAGGGACAGACCGGCTATTTAAGGTAGTTAAACTGAGTATGCAGTGTGGTGGACAAATTCTTTAGGATTCATTTAAGACATATAAAACATTTTAAAGATCTGTAAATCCTGCGTTTGAGCGCGAAGTCGACGCTCAAAATCGTACTTTTGGGTGGATACGTTTTCAGAATTAGTTTTTTAAATTATTAAATATCGACAACAAAAAATAAAGTAAAAATTATAAAGTAATCTAATTGGATGGTTAGGAACATATTTCTCAAAAGAAATTTGTCAATAAATCAATACTAAAATCGATTATTTCGTTTTCATTATTTTATTGAATTTTTCAGAATTGTTTTTTTTAAATTATGAAATAACGACGACAAAAAGTGTAAACAAAGTTCTACAGTAAACTAATTAGCTGTTTAGGAACAGGTTGAGAAAATAAAAATTAACTCTCATCATCGAAAATAAGTAATCTTATTCCATTAAAAGTTTCTAAAATCTCTCATTATTCACAAAGATTGTCTGTAAGTTTTTCTGGAATTTTTAATAAAAAGACGACATTTGAATAATTTGAAGAAATCTGCGAACAAATTCATAGAAAATAAGATATTCAATATAATAAGGAAAAAGAAATAATTAATTCTAATTTCGATTTAATGACAAATTTCTGTTACAAAATATGTTCCTAACCATCTAATAGAATTCTTACTTTATTTTTTAATAATAAAAAAAAACGGATTCTGAAAACTTACCCACCCAAATTCATGATTTTGAATGTCGACTTTGCGCTCAAACTCAGTAATTATACATCGTCGTGAAAACGTTTTATATGTCTCAAATGAACCCTAAAGAATTGTTCCACAACACTGCATACTCAGTTCAACTACCTTACATAGCCGGTCTGTCCCTTAAGCACTGTCATTAACTGATTAAACACTTTTAAAGTTTGTCTAAAAAATCATTATACTTTGAAAAAGGAAAGGATTTCAAATCCGTGCACAGTCTCTTTACTACTCATCCAACCATAGAATATTGATCATTCCACTGTATGATGTGTGAGCCAGTATAGAGACTAGATTTAAAACCTCGATCTAAGATAAGAAAACAAAAAGCAATCTGATAAAAGTTACATTTCTTAAACCCGTTCTTCATTAAATTAAGTGTTGGAAGGGTTTAATTGAAATTCAAGGAAGAGTCTCATGTGCATTTATTTATTAATGAAGTTGATATTTCTAACTTTCACTTTATTGTCATTGTTTCTAATCACAACCCACTTAGAAACTTAAAGGGCCTGTCGAACTAATTTCTCCCAACTTAAAGATTTACATGCCTTGAAATCTTACAATTGACATTGCAAGTCGGAAACGGCATTAATCTATCTATATATAAATTTGGCTTGTCTGGGTGTCTGTTTGTTTGTTTGTTTGTATCCAATAAACGTCAAAACGGCTGAACCGATCGGGCCCAAATTTTTTGTGGGACATCACGTGACCACAGGGAAGGTTTATGAATGATAAAATTAAAAAAAAATGTGTTTTAAAGGTTTTTAATTTTGTAAAAAAAAAAAAATCTTGAAAATCCGCGATTTTTTTTTAAAAATCCGCAAATTGTTTTCTTTGTTTTAAAATGTAAACAAAAAGAACATGTTCACAATTTAAATAGAAGATGGGCGCGAAGCGCCCTAAAAGCCTAGTAATAATTCATTTTTGGACAGAAAAGCAATATTGTTTCCTTATTTTTTTCCTGAGAGTTTTGGTAGATTTAGAGGAGTTTTAGTAGAGTTGGGGAAGTTGTAATAGAGTTGGTGGAATTTGGGTAGAGTACATTTTGGTATTGTTAAGGGAAGGTACCACTACTATACCATTGTAAAGCAAGCCTGAAACTCCGTAAATGGAGTTCAATCGAAAGTAAGTTCAGATAAGAACAAGCAAGGCTATTGAACCATTAGGCTGACGATTAAACATGACCTAAAATCAAGAATTCTCTTTTACACTTACAGTCATATTTAAAAACTTTCAGTAAATATTAACAAATATTTTAATTTGCACAAAGATTAAAATTAGAGCTCACTCTTTCTAGCTCTTTATATTTTTCTGGTCTGCCTGTAATCCAATAAACGTCAGACGGCTGAACCGATCGGTTCCAAATCTATAGTGATATCTGACATGAGAGACCCAGAGAAGGTTTACGGCTGGTTTATGGTCTACGGCTGGTTTATGGTTTACGGCTGGTTTATGGTCTACGGCTGGTTTATGGTTTACGGCTGGTTTATGGTCTACGGCTGGTTTATGGTTTACGGCTGGTTTATGATTTACGGCTGGTTTATATATAACAATTAAGCCTGGACAAAATGTTGACATGTACTATTATTCTAATCCGCCAATAAAAACAGAAAATCCGCAAACATTTTCTTTATTGAAGTGTAAGGAAAAAATGGGGACTTAAAAATCAACATAAGATAAAAGTAATATTAGGAAAGGGGCGTTAAGTGTCCTAAAAGATTCTTGAAACAAATAGAAAATAATTTGACGTGTCATTATTGATAGTTGAAAAAGGCAAATACTTAAGATTGCAAAATATTTCTCATATTTCTTCACTAATTGTATAAAATGCTGGTTTTCCTGTAAATGTAACAGAAGACGGGATGGATTGCGCTAACTCAGAATTTCTTCTCAAACCTGTAATTTTGATTTTTGGAAAGGGTATAAGCAGAAGTCGCGCAACTATGTGTGTGTAGGGTTGGGGGGAGGGGGGCTCAAAAATTGAAAAAAAAAACGTTTAGGTTTTAAACAGAAGCAAATGGTGAATATGATTTCGTCCAATAAAGATTATTAATGATTAGATTTTATTTTAAAAATATTTCAGGTCAAATAGTTCCAAAAATGCCTGGTTGATTGAAGGGAAAAGTGTTGAGCAAGCTCTTCGACCGTCTTGAGAAGTGGTCCCAGCTGCTGGGTCGAAGTGAACTTGGATCCGACCAGGGTACACCGTAAACTACAGAAACCGGTTCCAAATCTGCCACGTGGATTACAGAGGCCAAGAGAAAACCGGAAACCAGAGAAAACTTCATCTAAACATTCACATTATGTACAGTTAGATTCAATAAACTGATGAATGGGAAGACGATATTTACGCAGACTGATGTGTATTTGATGTGGTTACAAAGGAAACATTTTCACAGATTAATAAATTAAGTATGTGGTACATTACACGATCGCTCTGTTTTTATTATGTTAATTGCACAATTTAATTATCTATAATCTATGAGAATTTTGTTAAGTTTCGTATATTTATATGGTATATATCCTTAAGCTAGGGGAAAATTAATCAAAAAAGTTTCTTTTAATAGAAATTCAAATTTTTTAAAGATCTATTTTTTGATAAACGCATTGTTCTGCATTATCTATATAGACAGTTGGGTCTGATCTCTATTATCTTTTGACATATGCTATTTGCATGTCATTTTATCTTTGACATATGCACGGCATTATTTGATCAGATCAGCATTTGAGAATAAAGTGACATGAAAAATAGAAATAAAACAAAGGATTGATAGAATAGAAAAAGTTTCAAAAAGACTTGTAAAAAGATAAAGCAGATTAATATTAGAAGAGAATGAGAATTGAAAATGTAAATGTAAACACTCAGAATTGATTGGAAAAATAATAAAGTAAAAACTAACTAATTAAAATGGAATTAGTGGATCTGATGGAGATAATAAGTATTAAAAAGTTATGGCTAGATGGGAATTATAAAATAGAAATAATTTACAAAAATTGGAATTAGGAGGTGATAATCTAAATAAAAAAGCTCTTTGCCTCATGCATATATTTTAGTGTTAGCTACAGCTGGGCAAACGGCAAACCAAATTAGCTGACATTTTTCATGGGAACCCATGGGTATCTCGGTGGTAACATAGGCTAAAAAAACTATATTTTTAAGATGGAAATTTTTTTCTTTTTTTAATTTAAAATAAATTTCACCTGCAACGCTGGGCACTTCAGCTAGTAAGTAATAAAAAGGAATAAAATGTGATTATAAAAAAGGAAAATGATTAACAAAAGATGATATTAGGAGATGGAGTAGATAATATAGCAATGCATTGAATAGGTATAGATTGAAATAATAAGAAAAGGAATAATTAACAAAAAATAAAATTAGGGACTAAAAATAGAGATAATATGAATGAAAAAGAATACAAAGAGACTGCATGAATGAATATAAAGCAGAAAATGAACTGGATGAAATAAATGAAGTAAAGTACAGAAAAAACAGAAATGAAAAACTGAAGTGGAAAGAAACAGGAATGTTTAAACAAAACAAGAAATAAGGAAACAATTTAAAAGATTTAAAAAGAAAATCAGGAAAAAATTAATAAAAAATCTTAAAAAAAGAAATAACAAGGAAATGTTTAAACTAAACAAATGTTGTTACAAAGTAAGGAGATTTACTTGTGACTTTGAAGTTTTCTGGCTTTCACTTTATACCCCCCTACCGACCCCATCTGAAAAGGTTTAAGATAAAATGGACCAATGTTGATGGGACCGTTGCAAAATGTTGCAAAAGAGGAATGTATAAAAGATGTGTGTTTGCAGATGTACACAATTGGAATGCAAAAATGTAGAAAGAAATTTGAGATTAAAATCTAGAAAATAGTTGACTGCATAGTCTGGCCAAATAAGTCCCTAGAAGGGTTACTTATAGTAAATATATTGTGTCAATTTCAAGCTTTCTTATTGACCATTGTTCACGGACAAATTCCTAATACATACTTGATGTTTGTTCGTCAACAATGTCTGTTTAGTGTTTAAAAATTACTACAATATCTACTCTTTTTACCGTGAGAATTATACACCTGTACTTTATTTATATATACATATAATAGTAGGTTTGAAAGTATCTCGTCTAGCAGTTTCTTGTCTAATAGTCTATAAGTCTCTTCTCCTTTAGTCTATTAGTTTCTTCTCTATTTTTTTACGTGAACGTCGGTTTCTGGTCCTATTGTCTATTTGTTTACATGTATATCAGTTTCTAGTCCTCTTGTATATTTGTATATCAGTTTCTAATCCTCTTGCATATTTGTATATCAGTTTCTATTGTCTATTTGTATATCAGTTTCTAATCCTCTTGTATATTTGTATATCAGTTTCTAGTCCTCTTGTCTATTTGTATATCAGTTTCTAATCCTCTTGTCTACTTGTATATCAGTTTCTAATCCTCTTGTATATTTGTATATCAGTTTCTAGTCCTCTTGTCTATTTGTATATCAGTTTCTAATCCTCTTGTCTACTTGTATATCAGTTTCTAATCCTCTTGTCTATTTGTTAACATATCTATCAGTTTCAAGTCCGCTTGTCAATTTGTTTACGTGTTCTCTTGTCTATTTGTTTACATGTCTATGAATTTCTTTTCTAATTTTATTTCAGTTTCTTGTCCTCTTGTCTACTTGTTTGTTAGTTTTCTGTCCTTTTCTTTCTTGTCTATCGGTTTCAGGTCAATTTTTCAGTTTTTACTTGTCAATCTGTTTCTTGTCCCCAATTGTCTATTTGTATACTATTTGTATACGTCTATTTATTAGCATGTCTATCAGTTTCGTGCCCTCTTGTCTACCATTTTACCAGTTCATCTTCCCTTCGTCAATTTGTTTTCTATTTATCTATTTACTTGGAACTTGACTATGTGTTAATTGTAGAAATGGGCATAATTTTGAATTCCATTTTTAAACAAATAAGCTTCTTTACATAACAAGTTATTAATCACCTTGAAAAAGTTTGTTTTCATTAGATAATGCAATTTTTTTCCTCTGATCAAAGATATTAATTTAAACGATTTTGTATAATATTTTACTTACACGTTTTGAAAAGATATTTTTGGCAATATCGTTGGCTAAAATCAAACCCTTAGAAGTCGAAATGTTTTAAAACAAACCTTTTTTTGCCCATTAGTATTTAATCATGAATTATAATTAAGGGGGTGTTTACAGAATAAAAAAATTATTATCCTGATGATTTTTATACACTTTACACTTTACAGATCTTAGATAATAGGTATAGGGTTCATGATCATAGCCCAATTTTTCAGATGCTAGGGAGGGCGGGAAAAATGGGTCAAAAAATTTTAAATTTTTTGTTTTGTTTTTTACAAATATCAAAGTGTGACACATTTTTCAACATTCATTTTTCATAAGCTTTTCAAACATATAGTTTTTAGATCTGTAGCTTTAGTCACAAAAAAGTTATGGGCTAGTTTAGATTTTTTTCCCAGACCGGACTTTTTTCCGCCCTGTACCCTACCCTATAAATAAAAAAAAATATTTTTTAACAAAAAATCCTTTAAATTACTTTTCACTAAGTCACAAAATTTCACGATGATAGTGTCAAAAATGACTAATGAGAGTGCTAGGACAAAAAGACTACGGGGGGGGGGGACGCCAAACGCCCCCCATTCAGCCTGTTAAATGTTAAATGTTCTGATAGAGTGAACGTTATGCTTCATGTAAAAAGAAAGTAAACTTGAAGAGGAGAGACATTTTTTAATGATTTTTTTTTTATGATTTTACACCTTTTTGTGAAGCCACTCAAAAGTCAAAACATCATAAATACTTATCAAAAAGTCAAAGAAATTGAGCCTTTCCTCAAACTCAAATTTTCTAAACTTAATATATTTGCAATCTGATGGTGTAAACCTTTGATATTTCAAACATAGAAAATTTGTTTTAACAGAATTCATAGTTAAAATATCTCAGATTACCAAAATATATTGATAGGAAACTTAGCTCAAGGACAGCAGTAAACTCTAAGTTATCTTTAATCCTAAAAAGCGTTTCAAGTTTAAAAATACTGTAAAGTTTTTTGTAAAAAAAATTTGATCTTTTTAAATTTTATTTAGTTTTTAGAAAAAGAGATTTTTTTGTTTGTGCAGAAAACAAATTTTTTAGAATGTAGAAATGAAAATTAGAAGAGAGTAAGGGGGGGGGGCTAAGAGTCACCCTCCCCTAGTTGCGCCTATGTTAACTACCTACCCTAATCTGTATGTAAAGAAGAGTAGTGGCACACTGTTGGACTGGGTAGGAGTACACCCATATTTAAAGACAATGCATGGTTTCTAAACCAGGAATTGATAATGTGTCAGGGAGGGGTAATTTCACTTGTGCACATCAGGTAGGCCGGGTATGGAGGGGGAGTGTTAGTGTTTTTGCCAAGTTTGCAAACATATCAAAATAGCTGTTAATTAAATAGCGCGTAATTAGCATGCTTATTAACTCGACCATGTTATATGTCCAAGTCAATTAATTCGAAAAAATGAAAGAACACCATCAAATTGTTCACCTAAAAATGGAAATAAATCCTTGTCACAATTATTCTAATCCTTTCAACCTAATATTTGTAATTTTATTTTTCAGATTATGAATTCTGACAGATCAACTTGTCAAATATCAAAGATTTACAACTTCAGGTTACGAAGATATGGGGATTGAAAAAAAGATTTTGTGGCAGTTTGTTCTGTTTCACTGTCTCAGAAATTGCGTGATTCACGATCATAGATTAATCAAAATAATAGATAGGACACTAGATGTCGTCTTTTCAAGATTTAGAAGCATTTATTTAAAAATAACCCTAAGGCAAAACCCCAGAGGACAGGCTCTCTCTCTGTAGAGTTACAAGTTCTACTTCTAAATCTTGAAAAGACGAGATATAGTGTCTGTATATATATATCTCGTCTATTTCTGTTATTTTAATAAATCTATGCATATAAAAATGAGTAGGAGGATTTTTTTTGGAAACCCTTTTCTCTAGTCTGGGTATTATTGATTACATCCAGTAGGTATCAAAACTTAGGATATCGCCGCCAAGAGCATGTGAATAATATATGGTCAGTGGCGAAAGAAACGAAGGTTTGTAAATTAGTATTTCTGATCTTTAAACGTAAATTTTGATCTACAGGGTGTCCCAATAAACATAGGAAATAAGAGACGACTTGAAAGTCGTCTTTGATTTTTGATATTTAATTCATGTCAAAGAAAGTAAAAAATTGTATTTTAAAAATTGACGAAGATATAAGATATGAAAACAATTTTGATTTATTAAATAAATTGAAATATTTGTATAAATTTTGTAATATCTCCTTTAATTTTGAAGACACAAAAATGGCAGACCAGATTTTGAAAATCTCAAGACCTGGCGGTTTCGATGTTAGATGTTTAGGCTAGAAAACTGCAATAATTGTGTTCATGAAAATAAGCCGCATAGATCAAAGACGATATAAAAGTTGTCACTGAATTCTCATGTTTATTGGGACACCTGTATGTATATCTGTAACCTGAGGAGTAAGCAATCTGAAATCTGAAAAGTTTACAATCTAGGAATACAAAATCTGTAATTTACGAAATTTAAATCTGTAATCTAAGAAGTCTTTCATCTGTACACTGAAATATCCGAAATCTCTAATCTAAGAATATGATATCTGTAATCTAATATGTTTGAAATCTGTAATCTAAGAATATGATATCTGTAATCTAATATGTTCGAAATCTGTAATCTAAAAAGTTTAAAATCTGATAAGTCTGTAAAGTCTGAAATCACTAATCTAAGAAAGAAATACTGTACTATTGTGAAGACTGGAATCTGTAATCTGAAAAGCATGAATTCTGTGATCTGAAATCTGTAATAAATCTCCAGGAGAATCTAGCCCAGTGGGAGTGCAACAACCTTTTCTTTATCTATAAATCTGTATTTCAAGGGAAGACTTAAAAAAATATGCAAGTTAATATTTAGAAAATAATTTATTGATATCATCATGATTAATTAATTTTTTTATTTATTTAGTGTAAAATATCAATTTAAACAAAATTTCATGAACCCCCCTTTACAAAAATTTGCACAGTTATTCATAATTAACAGAGAAAGTATTTGATTTCGCTCCAATGCCTACTGATTCATTAAGATAACTACACTATATGTAGGTTCAAATATTTGTTAAATTAACCCTGGGGCTGAAAATATTCTTTAATAATCATTTAACAAAATGTTATCCTCAAGTAATAATATCGTCACAAATAAGAAATCGACACATTTGTTCCTTTTTCTTGGTAGTTTTATTTTTTATTGATTTCTTTTTTTCTTCAGAAATTAAAGACATTTTTTATAAATGCTTTCCATTCCTTTATTTTAATGTTTTTAGTTTGTTCATGAAACGATGCCGCATCCTATCATAAACAACAGGATAGCATGAGTTGTAACAAATTGCTCTAGAAAGTAGATGCATGAATAAAAACAACTTCATTGTTTCTCCTGACCATGTTTTCCTTATTAGTCATTACCCCTGTCACTGCCTGACCTGCATAATCTATGATTAATTTAGAATTTATTTATTTGCAAAATGCAACTTGGCAAACTGGGCCGATTGCAGGCATAAAAACTGGAAATTCTTTCATTCAAAAACCCCAGATTGAAATATTTTTTACAAATTCTAGTTAATTAAAACAAATTGATTCAGAAGAAAAATAGTTTACTAAAGGTTTACTTTTATAGTCATAAAATAAAAATAATAAAAATATTCTAAACTTATATTACGTTTTCTTTTTACCAGAAGGGCCTTAATTTGTCTTAAGTATAGCATATTGTCGTTTCTGCAGCAAAAAATTTTGTACATAGAAACCCCAAATGAAAATGATCAATTTTTACACAGGAAAATTAAGGATATATAATTTGTCCTTGTCTTGGCATAAAAATAAGCAAGTCGTGTTTTTTTCAGATTCAGATCAATATTTTCAGGGGAAACAAATATTTCAGAATCACTTTAAATCCCTTTTAGATAGATCATTCATATTACATGTGTAACAAAGGTTGCGTAAACATTGATTAGAATTTTACCGATTACTTCTTCCAAACTAAAGCTAAAAACAAGTAATTTATTCACGGTGACCCCCCAAAAAAAATAACTGGGATTAGCGTTTTAAAGTACCAAAAATCTTCTCAAATTATTTTTAAAAAGTGCCCTAGTATAATTTAAAATTTTAGTAGGGGTCGTTAAAATACCATTTTGACGTTCGAAGCTTCCGTTTTGCGCAAAACTGTGTCTAATTTTCAAAAACCTATCTGTTAACTTTAGACAATTAATAATTTTATTATTCTATTCAAATCTATACTGCAGGGAGAAAACAACTTAACAATGCTTTTGAGATCATAATAATGATCATTTATAGTTACTGTAAGATTTATAATATATAGGTTTCTCTTCTTAGAGTTCTGTTTATAGGATGACGAATACACCTTGGATTTCAGAAAGCCCAGAAGTCTAGGGGGGTTCAGATAGATGTAAATGATTTTTTTTTCTTGAGCGATATTGGTTAGCTATAAAAGTTAACAGAACGATTTTCAAATATTTGACATAGTTTTGCGCCAAATTGAAGGATCGGACGTCAAAAACATACTTTTTAACGACCCCTTCTAAAATAAAAAACTAAAATCAAGAGAACATGTTTGAGTAATTTCAAAAGATTAAAAGTGGATACAGAATCCTGATCCCTGTTTTTTTGGGTCACCCTGTAGTTTTTAAATTGACTGTCTAGAGCTACAAAAAGTGTGTTAGTGAGGTGAAATAAAAGGTCAAGGCATTGTGAATAGTCAAAGTCGACCCAGTCATCAAGCTTAATGCAACTTTGAAAAGCAGTCTAAATCTATGTAAAATATATAAAAGTGTAAATCTGTTTTTTTTGCTGACAGAAGAGCTTTGTGCCGTAATAATTGGTTCAATTGTTTGATTTAAAGAATATTATTTAGAATAAGATATCCGTAATCACAATTACTTAATTTTAGTATCCAATGGACACAGTTTTGATTTTCTTCTTAAACCGTTCTTGATCTCATGGAAATAGTAGAGAAATCAAAAACCGTTTTTGATTAGAAAGTCCCTCCCGTTTCTCTACATAATCTTAAATGGCGCGCAAATTTTCAAATTTATCGGCTTCTTGTACGACACTCTGATTGGTTGAATTTTAAATTGATATTTTCAGGATACAAGTTCAAGATTTAGTCTCGAGATTAAGAAAAAGAGAGGTTCACGCATTAATCTCAATATCCATTATTCTAAAGTTTTCAGCTTAGGACAGATAAATCAGATCATACTTTCACCTTGCAAAACTACAGTACAGTGAGACCCATAACACTGTGGAATAAGATTATGGTTTAGATTTAAATTATTAAAAAACATAAAACATAGCAATTCTGCACTTAACACAGGCTTTCAAGGGACGTATAAAACTATTTGCTTATATAACATCCAAAAACATTACATTTCTTTTATGTCGTCTTTCTATTCCCAATTTTTGCGTAAACCTTACATGAAGAAATCGACCTGAAGGACCTAATATCTAGTAGTTTCTACAGAGTTCGATGATAAAAATATATATAATCTGTTTGACAACCCGTCTAAACTAATCATATCTGGTTTTCAGACTTAATTGTTCAAATTAATCAAAGCCGGTGTAACGCCTTAATCCCCCCCCCCATTCTATGTACTACCAATTTCAGAGATGAATGTTTTTCTGTCCTCCCCCCCCCCGCTCCCCCGAGCAAAATAAGGAGCTTTGTAAAAGGGAAAATGAAATAAAAGGGGAACAAAGGTTGAGACGTCAATGGTGACTTAAACTATTCAATAATAAAGATTTAAAGATTGAATTTAGAACTTTGTCTTTAAGGCTTTAAGGTTCAGTAAAATGTCGTCTCTAAAGTCTCATTCTTAGAAGGTTACTCTGTACTTTTGAATTTAGAAGGTTAACTAATACCAGTAAACTGGAATTCGAATTATAAACCAAGGGGTTCAATCTCCTTTTTTACTTATAAACGATGAGAATAAGTTTATATCATGTTGGTTGTTAGATCTAAACAAATAAAAAATCTTGTCCGTTTTTCTCACTTTTTTGCCCCCTTCTTTCCACAGCGATTCAAATGTTAAAGTTTTCAACGTTTTCAGGCAAAAATCAAAAAAAATTAGTAGTCAATAGCTATAGTTTACAGTTGATCCAGTCTCATGAAAAATTATTTCGGTTCAATGTAAAATTATGTATACTGCCTGCGCCCTGTTTTCTTACAATTCATTTTTGCTACAGTGAAACCCTTAATAACGAATACATCGAAAGAATTCATCAAATGTCGTATTCTTCACTTTCTGATAATGGAATGTTGCAGATATTTAGTCTTTTAATTAAATGATTATATGGAACTCTTTAAAACTGTTCCCGCATATTCATGGCTATTTATTTATTTTCGCAAATACTGAAATTTACGTAATATAGTATAAAACTCATTGAAAAATTGTCAAGACGACATTCGATAAATTCTTCCGTTATTAAGGGTTTCACTGTAACATGACATAAAGAAAACTTACCTCAATTATGTTTTTGGTTGAATTCCATGGAATTGGTCCGGTTGCTTTCATTCGTCTCTTTACTGTCCCTTTAAGTGGGCCACCCTGTAGTTGTACATTCCTGAACGCAACCTAGAAATATGCTGCTGTACCTTTCTAGCACTCAGTTTTCCAATCTAAATTTCTTCTTACTCAATCACCTTGCTTTCAGTTCAAATACAGAATCTGTTAGTCTTTATTGTTTCTCGAATAGTAACCGAGAACGTGAGGGAACCCTGATTGCCGTATTCACAACGGTACCCTATAATTGATACATTTAAATGTGGGATTCCTGTAACACTGACATGCGAATTTGTGCGGCAGAGCCAATGAAGGATATTGTAGACGTTATTTGGTGGCATAGTTGATATTGCAAACTGCTGGATCAAATTGTCAAATTTTGAAATATCAAAAAGGTTGCAAAGATATAGATTTTAGGTATTAGAAAATTAGAATTTGCAGTATTCTCCCTATTAAGAAGGGAGGTGAAATTATTATATTTGAAGAGAAATTCATATATTAATATTATTAGATATAGTTAACTATTTTTAGATATTGCTAAAAATTAAATATAAAATTGGAAAATCAATAACTTACATAGAACGTTGTTTAACAGATGTCAACGTTCCAGCACAAGTCAGGGGAATCAATATCTATCTGGAACATAATAATATTGCTTTTACACAGAAAAAGCAGTAACTTTTGATGAACAGTTAATTACACAAAAAGGCCACAAAAACAAACAAAAAAAGGAAGCTTCGGATATTGACTGATAGTTCACCCTCAAAGAAAGTGTTTTAAATAATACGAAACTGATAAAATCTAGAACACTTTAATTCAAGATTTCAAGATGAAATATATGTTGTGTTATGAAATAAATGCAACACAGGATAAACCTGCAATGTAAGATTGGATCAGTTTCTTTAGAATATTCAAAACGATTAGAAACCCTGAAAGGAAAATCCTGAGTTAAAAAATATTAAATCTAGAAAAGTAAACCTTGTTCAAAACCTTGTTTTTGTAGCTTTAAACTTAAATCTTTTAAAAATAAATCAGGATTGATCAAAAAAACTTCTTTAGCTAAAACTAATAAAAATACTAGAAGGGTACATTAAGGATATGTACCCTTTACTGATTACAAATGGCGTAGCTTCATACAAATCAATTAAAGTAAATAAAGTAAAACAAAATTTACATTATTTTTACAGTCTAGCAAAATGTTTTACGTGATGGGTCTGTTATCGTGGTTAGGATTTCCATTATTTACTACCCCAGTATCATTAGCAGAGACCTGTACTTGTACACCACAATATTCCTTATATTAAGTATTTTTCGGTGTTTTGATTATGGTTCCAGTTCCAGGTATAGAACCAACAACTTGACCATCCAGGCAGAATATTGGTCCCTTGCAGTTTTTACATGGATTAGTGACATTTTGGACAAACTTAACCAGCTTCCTACTGTTGGCATTAATACAAGCTAATTTCATGTTATTCTTCATTACAAGATCTTCAACCTTCAATCTTCACAAGTTTAGAGATTTCTGCCTTTCAATCTTTAAAGTGATTTTTCATATCTTTCAACTCTTTGGATATTTGATCCCTTTGATCCTCTGCACGCTGTTTCTCCAGCTTAGATACTTCTGCTTGGGTATCAGCCAGAACTTTGGTAATTGAAGAGCTCATGATGAGTCTTAGGTCTTTATCAAATAATTGAATTACATACTGCTAATGTTAGGAAGTGATATATTTATCAATGCATACTTTTCAAACTTGTTGGTGCTGACATGCTAGATATTATAGTTCTTTTCTTGCGAGATGCTGAAAAATAAGTCTGGGCGTTTTTCATTAAAAACGAGCAATCTAAAAATTATCTGCAATAGCAATAACTTACCGAAAAAATTGTTCAACAAAGCTAAACCTTCTAATACAAGCCAGGGGATATCAATATTTATCTGAAATATTACAATATAAGTTTCACACAGAAAGAAATTGAGTTTTTGCCACACACAGATAAATTCTAATCCTTATATCTTTCCAATCTGATAATGTAAACCTTTGATATTTCAAAGTAAGAATATTTGATCTAATAGAATTCATAATTTGAAATATCAAAGGTCTAAAACATCGTGTTGGAAAGATATAGGGATTAGAAAATCAGAGTTTGTTGCAAAAACTCAATTCCTTTACAATTCAAGTTAAAAATAGTTATTCTCAATTAAACAAAATACACAAAAACAGAGGAGGCTTTAATAACTGATTGAAAGTTTACACTCTCAGAAAATATTTACAATAATCAGAAAAAAATTGAAATCAAGAACATTTCAATTCAAACTAAGGTGAAATAAATGTTATGTTACAAAACAAATGCAACTTAAAAGATTAAGGTTCGGAATCTTGAAAACAAGGAGAAATCCTGAATAGAAAGTTTTTTAATATTTAATTATAGAAAATAAAAACTTTTTATTAGTTCTGCAGCTTGTTTATGTTAAAACATATCTTAAGAAAACTTATGAATAAATTCAGTTTAAAAAAGTGATTCTGATCCAAATGACAATACGAAGGAATTTACAGTCTAGCAAAGTGTCTTACTAATTACTAATTACACTTGCAAACTTATCTTAATCTTTTACCATAAAAAGTACATATAACTCTAATAGATCCCATAATGGCATTATTAACACTATTACCAAGTCAGAGATCAGATGCAGTATATTTGAATGTGGATAGTTAGCATTCTGGATTAAGCTTTAGCTGCTTACAATTATTTATTTACAGTTGTAAACAAATCCATTGGAACCAAGGATATATCCTGATGTGTTCCACTTGATGTAGGGTCCGTATGTGGGATCTACATAATCTACAACTCCAGTATCATTAGCATGAACCCGGTATTGTAAAGCAAAGCTTTTCCATGTAGTATCCTTTAGTGCTCTGATCTTGGTTCCTTTCCCTGGTGTATTACGAATAACTTGACCATCCAGGCAGAAGGTTGACCCATTGCAGTTTTTGCATGGGTCTTTGGTATACTCGTATTTATCCGCTAATTTCTTGTCAAGTTTGGAAGTTTTAGTTTTAGAATATTCCAGCTGAATCTTGGTATCTTCCAATTGAATCTTTGTCTCATCCAGCTGAGACTTGGTCTCTTCTATCTTAATCTTGGACTCTTCCAACTTAATATTGGTCTCTTTCGACTGAATCTTGGACTCTTTCAGCTGAATCTTGGTATCTTCCAACTTAATCTTGGTCTCGTTCAATTCAGTCTTGGTATTCTCCAACTGTATCTTGGTATCTTCCAATTGAATCTTGGACTCATTCAGCTGAGACTTTGTCTCTTCTATCTTAATCTTGGATTCTTCCAGCTGAATCTTGGTCTCATCCAACTGAATCTTGGATTCTTCCAGCTGAATCTTGGAATCTTCCAGCTGAATCTTGGTCTCGTTTAATTCAGTCTTGGTCTCATCCAACTGAATCTTGGTATCTTCCAGCTGACCCTTGACATCTTCCATTTGCTTCTTCATATCTTGAAACTGAATCCTTATATTTCCCATCTCCTCAAATATTTGATCCAATTGCTCCTCAGTACGCTGAATTCCTAGATAATAACATAAATATAAAGAAAACTAGATGATTTCATCTGAAAAAAATGAATAAGAAATAAAACCATAGCCTTTTTCTTTCCATGTTCTTATCCTGTTCTCAGATTTTGATGTCTTTGAAATATACGCAAAATTGTCTTGTCCTATGATCAAGGGTATGTATTTATTTTATAGACAAGTTTTTAACTAATCTAATTTATACGATGAGAACAATAAACTGTGGGATAGGAAAACAACATAAAAGTAATAAATAAGTGTATTTGATGTTGTAACAAAGCAACAAGTTTACAAGTGACTTATTAAATCCCTTGTTCAGTGAAATAAATCTGTTCACACTGAACAATTCCTGTGTCTTATTGTACTGCTTAAAGTTTAATAAACAAAATGATAATAATAATAAAAAAACTATTTTTAACACAAACTGTTCTAGATCCGTATATAAGGAGAAAATGGTTTGACATATTTAATGTCCAAGAGATTAAAGCTCATGAAAATACATCAAATTCCATTATTTTTATATTTTCTACAAGAATATTCAAAAATTCAGCTCAAAGAAATCCGTAGTCTCAAAACTAAAATAGTAAGAAAAGAAAAATAGGATTTTGAGAAGATAATATTACTATAATTGTTAAGTTTTTGCTTCAAAGTTTTAAATTTTAAATTTTAAGGTGGTTTTATAGGTTTATTATGAAAATAATTAAGATTATTCTATAATAATACCTCCACTGTCGAATTTCCTCTTAGTTCCACGATTCTCTAGGTTAGTGGCTTCTTCTAGAGCGTCAGAGAATATTTTCAGGATTGAGGAACTCATGTTCACTGTTCAGGTTGTCAGGGGTACCTTAAAAATTAACATTTTGAAAGAGTGCAAAGAATCAGTCTACAATTCTTTTTTTAAGGAAATGATTTTTTGCCACAAATTCTTATCTTTTTATTTCTAAATCTTTGCACCCCCCGATCAGGCCCGTAACCAGGGGGGTGCAAGGGGTCAGGTAGTACCCCCATTACTCCTAAAAGGGGGTGCAGTGACGAATTTGAAGTTGCACCCCCCACCATTTTTATAAAATAAGTTCTTTTCTAGAAAAATTAAGATTATGGTTTATGGATGATCAAATTTTCAAAAATTAGTCTTGTTCAAAGTTCGATTTTCATCAAATTTTTGAAAAAATTTGAAAATTTTGAAAATCCATGAAATCTTGATCATAAAATCCGTGAAGCACCCTAAAAGCCTGGGATAATAAGTTTGATTCACTATAATTTGTAGGATTGTACAGTTGTAACCAGTAATACTTTCCTTAAACTAGACCCATAGCTTAGAATTTTGTAATTTGTAATTTGTAATTTGTAATTTGTATGCATGCCCTGAACATTTACAGAGATAGTAAAGATATACAATTTACAATTTACAAAGCCAAGTGATAATTCATAATTAAAAGAAATAAATGAAGACGCAATCATTCCATGGTATTATGAATTAAGTAACATTTAATAAAGGCGTCATCAATATTTTGTCATTGTTATTTCAAAAGAAAAGACTTGCGTCCATGGACGTGTGTATTAAGGAACTGATCTTTGACACAAACTCTTATTTTCCCAATCATTATATCTTTGCAACCAAATGTCGTAAATCTTTGATATTTCAAACTATGAATTCGTTGTTTAAGATAAAATCTAAGTTTGAAATATCAAAGGTTTTTACTATCAGATTGCAAAGATATATGGATTAGAAAATTTGAGTTTGTGGCAAAAAATCAGTTTCTTTGTTATCTTTAAATCAACGTATAATTTAAAATGAATATAATTTTATTAGAAAAGTATGAGAAAATGAATGATAGCTTGATATTAAAATTACTTATCTAAAATTTAACAATTCCTGAATAAAATAAAATAAACTTACTAGAAATATTCTAGAACAGTCCTAAAGGCTCTCTAAAGTCAGTTATATCAATATTTATCTGTAACATACAATATTATTTTTACACAGATTTTATTAATCTATTGCAGAATAGTATACACTTAAAAAGAATCATAATACAAACTTTAATCCTGAACCTGAACTCTAAGGTTCAGGATTTTAATTTCAGAAGTAACGAAGAAAAATACAATTTAAAAAATCAAACTTAATTTCGCAAATTCTTGTGAGATACAAAATCTTGGGTCAAGAAACAATATTAAAAAAGAGTTTTTTGACCACCAAAGTCAGTAAGTAAACAGAACAGAACTGAAAACAAACAAAGGAATTGAATCTTAGTAACAAATTAACATATTTAAACCCCAATATCTTTAGAACTCAATGTTATAAACCTTTGATATTTCATACTCTGATTATTTGATTTAACAGAATTCATAGTTTGAAATATCTAAGGTCTACAACATTTGGTTCCAAAGATATAGTGATTAGAAAATCAGAGTTTGTGGCAAAGACTCAATTCCTTTCTCCGAGAATAAATCTCACCAACAAAGTGAAAACTGTTTAAAAATTCAATGCACAAAAAACCGTGATAAAAGAAAGTTCAAGAAAGCATATTTTGTACAATGTAAATAAAAAAGCAATTAATACTGACTAAAAGCTTTCATTGCTTTATTCTAATATGTCTGTTTGTGTGACCAATAATTCCATAATGCTTAACATTTGAACCAATTTAGAGAATCTGATATTCTAATGTGACTGTTTATGTGACCAATAATTCCATAGTTCTTAACATTTGAACCAAGTTAGAGAATCTGATATTCTAATGTGACTGTTCATGTGACCAATAATTCCATAATGCTTAACATTTGAACCAAGTTAGAGAATCTGATATTCAATGAAGTAAATGGGCATATGGATTAGTATTCAAGAACTCAAGAACCATACACTTTGTTAACAGGAGGAATCAATAATAATCCTTTGATCAGAAAATTAAATTAACAAATGAAGATAAATAATTTGTTATTTACTCAAACTATTTCAAACAGTCGATTATTGCCAAAAATCCTCTTTTTTAAATAAACAACTGTAGTCACAATAGCGCCACTAATAAAGATTATTTACAATGAAATCAGGGGCTAAATAGAATCTTAGAAAGAATCTTGACTTTGATTTATTCTCAGAATTAAATTCTTAATTAAGAGTCAAAATCCCTCCAATACAAAATATTTCACTTCAACTTCATTACATTATGTAAAGTTTTAATAACCGACTTCTTTGTTACAACTACTTTGAACTTCAGTGCTTCGCACACACTTGCATACTACTGCAGTACTGATATGATGGCAATTATAACTTCTATACCCCGCTCTCTCCCATTTGATATTGTATCTTCCTTCAGGTGTATAAAATCCTACTCCAGCATCACCAGCATAAACATCAACATGAAGTAAATATGAATCCATATTACTCGATGCTGTGACTACTGCTTTATCAACTGCTTTCTTATCAACAGGTGTCTCATCAAGATAGAAGGAATTCTTAATGTCCCTGAAACAAGGGAAAAGATCAACCCTGGCTGTCTCAGAAATATCCTTCTTGCTGCTAATATCTTTGCTATCAGTTTTCATCATTTCCAGGACTTTAACAAGCTTAGACATGTCAGAAGAGACTTGATTCTTGAAGTCTTTAACCTGAAGCTTGACATGTTCCACATCTTCCTTGACATTTTTAACATCAGCCTTGATATTTTCCATTTCACCCTTAAAGACATTTCCTAGCTCAGACATGTCTTCTGGGACTTGTTTCTTAAGGTTTTCAATCTTGAGATTAACATTTTCTACTTTAACCTTGACATTTTCTAGTTCCTTGTTGATTTGGTCATTTTGACCCAGAACAGTCTGAATTCCTAAAAAGAACAAAGTTAACACTAACACCCTCCCAAACAATTAAAACCAGTTATTTTGAGAGGAGATTTGTCTTGAAATATATACCTCCCCACCCCCTTACAAGATCCTTTATTCAATTTAAAGAGTAAAAGAAAATATTAGAATACAAGGCTTTAAAGGCGCTTCGCCCCAACTTCTATTTCATGTTCTTTTTGTGTACATTATAAAACAAAAGCAATTTTTTTCAAATTTTACGAGAGATAAATTTTGAAAATTCGATCATCCATAAACTTTGTCTGGGGTAATGCGCGGTCCCACAAAAAAATTTGGGCCCGATCGTTTCAGCCGTTTTGACGTTTGTTGGTTACAAACGGACAGACAGACAGTATGTATATATAGAATAGATATCTAAAGATCGATTAAATTGGTCTAATGTGGCACTTCATTTCTGGACATAAATCCTCAGCACATTAATACAAACCTTGTTTGGTAACTTTTATTTCAGCCACTTCTTTCTCTAGTTTACTCATATCTTCTTGAACAGCTAAAGCTAAAGCTTTGATGGGTGAAGAACTCATGATAGTCTTGTAACTTTGTCAGATCTACAGAGATACCTAAATAACATGCAATACAATGATGGATACAGCTAGTACTTTGTGCTTAACTAGCTATAATAGTGGGGGTATGGGAATTGATAAACAGAACTTTATAAGTTTGCTATCTTGGTTCTCAGACATTTTATGCATTCATGATAAATATGTTATGTAGTGATTAAAAATCAATGTTTTCTATGTGTGCATAATTTTGCACATTTTTTCTCTTTTCTTTTGGAAACCTGTATTTTCAAAAAAAAAAATTTATTTAAACAAATTTAAACTACACCATTTATATATGTATTTATATCTTTGTGTGTGAATAAATCATTATAATATAATATTATATAATAAGTTCAATTCATAAACATTTGAAGGACTGTAGTGTACAGTGGTAACCAGAAATCAGTGGGATGATAGTCGACTGTATTTCTTTCTTAAGCTAGAACATATAGCTAAGCATTTAGTAATTTGTTTACGTGCCCTAAACATTTACAGAGATAGTAAAGGTACAATTTATAAAGCCCAGTGATATTTCATACTTAACCCTATCAAGATTGGGCAATTTTTGTCTAATATAGATTGGAAGTGGGTGGGGAAACACCCCCTCTTAGAGTTGAGATATGGGAGTGTGATACATGTACCCAATCCAACTTTTCAAGACCTGCTCATTAAAAAAAAATTAGACCACCTACTTTAATGGTCAGTGTGTAAGAGAGGATTTTTAAAAAGTTCAAAAAAGTATGTTGAAAATTTTTTCTGAACTAGTTATTTTTACTTGTGACTAATATTAACATGTGACACATGCTATTATATCCATTTTTCAGGGGCTTTTCAAATATTTTGGCCCTGTAGCTTAATTAATAAAAAAGTTATTAACCATTTCTGATTTTTTTAAACACCGACCCGCCGTTTGAGTGGAGGACCCACCCTCACCGAAGGTTAAGAGTGTCACATGGGCTTACTAGGCGAGCAGCCCAGGCGGCTATATATCTAGTACCGGCTCGATAGTACAGTATATTATTTTGTACTGGCACAACATATTTCAAATGTCGTCCGCTATCTTCGAGTATGATAACTCAAATTTTTGAAACAAGGGAAAAGATCAACCCTAGCTGTCTCAGAAGTATCCTTCTTGCTACCAATATCTTTGCTATCAGTTTTTATCATTTCCAGGACTTTAACAAGCTTAGACATGTCAGAAGAGACTTGATTCTTGAAGTTTTTAACCTGAAGCTTGACATGTTCCACTTCCTCCTTGACATTTTCAACATCAGCCTTGACATTTTCCATTTCACCCTTAAAGACATTTCCTAGCTCAGACATGTCATCAGAGACTTGTTTCTTAAGGTTTTCAATCTTGAGATTAACATTTTCTACTTCAACCTTGACATTTTCTAGCTCCTTGATGATTTGGTCATTTTGATCCAGAACAGTCTGAATTCCTAAAGAGAACAAAGTTAACACTAACACCCTCCCAGACAATTAAAACAATTACAATTTATAAAGCCCAGTGATAATTCATACTGAACCCTATTGCAGATTGGGCTATTTTTGTCTTATATAGCTTGGAAGAGGGGGGGGGGGAAACACTCCCCTTTAGAGTTGAAATATGGGAGTGTGATACATGTACCCAGTCCAACTTTTCAAGACCTGCTCATTAAAAAAATTAGACCTCCTACAAAAATGGTCAGGGTGTAAGGGAGGATTTTAAAAAAGTTCAAAAAGTATGTTGAACATTTTTTCAGAACTAGTTATTTTTACTTCTGACTAATACTAACATGTGACACATGTTATTATATCCATTTTTCAAGGGCTTTTCAAATATTTTGGCCATGTAGCATAATTAATAAAAAAAGTTATAAACCATTTCTGATTTTTTTAAACAACGACCCGCCGTTTCATTGGAGGACCCACCCTATCCTATGCATCAAAAAAAATTGTTATGCTAAATTTGTTTAAAACTATTATGTTGAAAAAGTAATGAAGTTTCAGCGTTCTAATGTAAGCCTTTTTTATGTTATTCAGAAAAAGTCACGGGGGAGGGACCCCCCCCCCCTCCAATCGTGATAAGGTTAAAAGAAAAGATGAAGACGACAATTCCATCGTATTTTGGTTACTACCGTCTTAATATAATGTTAACAACATTCAATTAGTAACGGCGCCATCTATATTTTTTATTGTTACACAAAATAAAGACTTTCGTCCTTGGACGTGTGTATTAAGGAACGGATTCTTTCTTTGCCACAAATTCTTATTTTTCAATCATTATATCTTTGCAACCAAATTTCGTAGATCTTTGATATTTCAAACTATGAATTCTGTTAGATAAAATCTAAGTTTGAAATATCAAAGGTTTACACCTTCAGATTGCAGAGATTTAAAGATTAGAAAAATCAAGTTTGAAGCAAAAATTCAGTTATTCTTTTCCAAATTTTTAAGAGATTTAAAATCTATTTGACATTATAGGAGTTTATCAGACGGGAAATTTAAAAAGGTGCGCGAAGCGCTAAGAGGAATTTTCTAGGTATAAATGGGAAACAAAGGACAAACACAACACTTATCTTTCCTAAAAAAGATTCTTTCTGTACTTTGCAAAAGGAACAATAATTACCCCAAAAGCTCCAGGGGGGAAATAAGCCTCCCCCCCCAGCCCTGAACCCGCTACTGTTTGTACTGCATAATTCCAATTAATTAATAATAAAAGAAAAGATGTTATAATACAAACATTACTCCTAAACTTAGGATTTGAATCCTAGAAGGTAACGAAGATCAAATTCCACCAAAGTACAATAAAAAATCACACTAATTACTAATTACACTGGCAAACTTATTTCAATCTTTTACCATAATAGGTAATATAACTCTAATAGATCCCATAATGGCATTATTAACACTATTACCAAGTCAGAGATCAGGTGCAGTATATTTGAATGTGGATAGTTAGCATTCTGGGTTAAGCTTTAGCTGCTTACAGTTATTTATTTACAGTTGTAAACAAATCCACGGAAACCATGGAATTCTAATTTCTTGAAGATGGGTCCGAATGATGTGAACTTGAAGATGGGTCCGTATGTGGGATCTACATAAACTACAACTGCAGTATCATTAGCAGAAACCCGGTATTGAGAACCTTTTAGTCTGATTGTAATATCCTTTAGTGCTTTGATCTTGGTTCCTATCCTTGATGTATTACGAACAACTTGACCATCCAGGCAGAAGGTTGACCCATTGCAGTTTTTGCATGGGTCTTTGGTATACTCGTATATATCCGCTAGTTTCTTGTCAAGTTTGGAAGATTTAGTCTTAAAATATTCCAGCTGAATCTTGGTATCTTCCAATTGAATCAAGGACTCATCCAGCTGAGACTTGGTCTCTTCTATCTTAATCTTGGACTCTTCCAACTTAATATTGGTCTCTTTCGACTGAATCTTGGACTCTTTCAGCTGAATCTTGGTATCTTCAAACTTAATCTTTGTCTCGTTTAATTCAGTCTTGGTATTCTCCAACTGAATCTTGGTATCTTCCAGCTGAATCTTGGTATCTTCCAACTTAATCTTGGTCTCGTTCAATTCAGTCTTGGTATTCTCCAACTGAATCTTGGTATCTTCCAGCTGAATCTTGGTATCTTCCAGCTGAATCTTGGTCTCGTTTAATTCGGTCTTGGTATTCTCCAACTGAATCTTTGTATCTTCCCCCTGACCCTTGACATCTTCCATTTGCTTCTTCATATCTTGAAACTGAATCCTCATATTTCCCATCTCCTCAAATATTTGATCCAATTGCTCCTCAGTACGCTGAATTCCTAAATAATAACATAAATATAAAGAAAACTAGATGATTTTATCTGAAAAAAAATTAGTAAGAAAAAAACCATAGCCTTTTTTTCCCCATGTTTTTATCCTCTTCCCAGATTTTGATGTCTTTGAAATATACGCAAAATTGTCTTGTCCTATGGACAAGGGTATGTATTTATTTTATAGACAAGTTTTTAACTAATCTAATTTATACGATGAGAACAATAAACTGCAGGATAGGAAAACAACATAAAAGTAATAAATAAGTGTATTTGATGTTGTAACAAAGCAACAAGTTTACTAGTGACTTTTTAACACAAACTGTTCTAGATCCGTATATAAGGAGAAAATGGTTTGACATATTTCATGTCCAAGAGATTAAAGCTCATGTAAATACATCAAATTCCATTATTTTTATATTTTCCACAAGAATATTCAAAAATTCAGCTCAAAGAAATCCGTAGTCTCAAAACTAAAATAGTAAGAAAAGAAAAATAGGATTTTGAGAAGATAATATTACTATAATTGTTAAGTTTTTGCTTCAAAGTTTTAAATTTCAACGTGGTTTTATAGGTTTATTATGAAAATAATTAAGATTATTCTATAATAATACCTCCACTGTCGAATTTCCTCTTAGTTCCACGATTCTCTAGTTTAGTGGCTTCTTCTAGAGCGTCAGAGAATATTTTCAGGATTGAGGAACTCATGTTCAGTGTTCAGGTTGTCAGGGGTACCTTGAAAATTAACGTTTTAAAAGAGGGTAAAGAGTCAGTCTACAATTCCTTTATTTTCTGCCACAAATTCTTATTTTTTTATTTCTAAATCTTTGCAACCCGATCAGGCCCGTAACCAGAGGGGTGCAAGGGGTCAGGTTGCACCCCCATTATTTTTTTAAATAAGATCTATTCTTGAAAAATTAAGATTATCATGGTTTATGGATAATCAAATTATTAAAACTTCATCAAAGTTCGATCTTCATTAAATTTTTGAAAATTTTGAAAATCCATGAAATCTTATCATGAAATCCGTGAAGCACATGCCTGGGATAACAAGTTTGATTTACTATAATTTGTAGGATTATACAGTTGTAACCAGTAATACTTCATACTTTCCTAAAACTAGACCCATAGCTTAGAATTTTGTAATTTGTAATTTGTATGCATGCCCTGAACATTTACAGAGATAGATTTAATAAATAAGGCGTCAGCAATATTTTGTCATTGTTATATAAAAAAAAGACTTGCGTCCATTGGCATGTGTATTAAGGAACTGATCTTTGACATAAACTCTTATTTTTCAATCATTATATCTTTGCAAACCAATGTCGTATATCTATTATATTTCAAACTATGAATTCGATGTTTAAGATAAAATCTAAGTTTGAAATATCAACTGAAACTGAAGATATTATAACCTGATTTTAAGATAGAAAATGGAAGAAATTATAACCTGTTTTTAAGATAAAAAACTGAAGATATTATAACCTGTTTTTAAACTAGAAAATGGAAGATATTATAACCTGTTTTTAAGATAGAAAATGGCAGATATTAACCTATTTTTAAAATAGAAAATGGAAGATATTATAACCTGTTTTTCAGATAAAAAAATAAAGATACTATAACCTGTTTTTAAGATAGAAAATGGATGATATTATAACCTGTTTTTGAGTAAGAAAATGGAAGATATTATAACCGGTTTTTAAGATAGAAAATGGAAGATATTATAACCTGTTTTTAAGATAGAAAATGGAAGATATTATAACCTGTTTTTAAAATAGAAAATGGAAGATATTAACCTGTTTTTGAGATAGAAAATGGCAGATATTATAACCTGTTTTTAAGATAGAAAATGGCAGATGTTATTACCTGTTTTTAAGATAGAAAATGGCAGATATTATTACCTGTTTTTAAGATAGAAAATGGAAGATATTGTGACCTGTTTTTAAGATAGCAAATGGAAGATATTATAACCTGTTTTTAAGATAGATAATGACAGATATTATAACCTGTTTTTAAGATAGAAAATGGAAGATATTATAACCTGTTTTTAAGATAGAAAATTGAAAATATTATAACCTATTTTTAAGATAGAAAATGGCAGATATTATAACCTGTTTTAAGATAGAAAATGGCAGATATTATAACCTGTTTTTAAAATAGAAAATGGAAGATATTATAACCTATTTTTAAGATAGAAAATGGAAAATATTATAACCTGTTTTTGAGATAGAAAATGGCAGATATTATTACCTGTTTTTAAGATAGAAAATGGCAGATATTATAACCTGTTTTTAAGATAGAAAATGGAAGATATTATAATCTGTAGAAAATGGAAGATATTATAACCTGTTTTTAAGATAGAAAATGGAAGATATGATAACCTGTTTATAAGAAGGAAAATGGAAGATATTATAACCTGTTTTTAAGATAGAAAATGGAAGATATTGAATCCTGTTTTTAAGATAGAAAATGGAAGATATTATAACCTGTTTTTAAGATAGAAAATGGAAGATATTGAATCCTGTTTTAAAGATAGAAAATGGCAGATATTATAACCTGTTTTTAAGATGGAAAATGGAAGATATCTTTGTTGTTTAGATAAAGCTGTAAAATATATTGTTGTAAATAGAACATGCAAGTTACAACTAATTAAAATCTAAAATTACATTCACACTTGAGAGTCCCTTAAAAACTAAACTTAAAGGAACTGAGTTTTTGCCACAAACTCTAATCTTCTAATCCCTCAATCTTTGCATCCCAATGTCGTAGACCTTTAATATTTTAAACTATAAACTCTGATTTATCAAATAGTATAGGTTTAAAAATCAAAGGTTTACACTATCAGGTTGCAAATATAAAGGGATTAGAAAATTTGAGTTTGTGCCAATAACTCAGTTCTATTGCAAAGCTTTTACGAGATCTTATTCATCTTTTTAAAAATGCATAAAAAAAATATCCATGTGGAGTTAGAATCAGTTTCTTTAGTTCTCCTATGTAGATTCGACGTAAACGTAAATGTATATGATTTAATAGGAAAAGTAAGAAAAACAGGAATAAAAACTTAAAGGTTTAATTTTCATCTCAAAGTTTAACAATCTCTAAGTTTCTAAAATAAAACTTACCAGAAATATTCTGGAACAGTCCTGAAGGTTTTCTAAACTGTATTTAAGTCAGGGAGAAATCAATATTTATCTGAAACATACAATATTATTTTTACACAGAGATTTTAACTATTGCAGAATAGAATGAAATTGAAAAATATTAATTTTTGAAAAAGAGTTATCAACAAATTGAAAGATCCAACCGAAATAAGATTTATAATCACAATATGAAAGGAAACTTACATCTTAGAAGATTGTCAATTGCAACCTGTACAGCTTATATTACTAATACTTAACAAGAAATTTTCAAAAGTTTAAATGTTGATCATAGATCAACTTTAATCAATTCAAGATTTTTAAGCCAAAATTTTTTACAATATAACAATATTAAAATAGTGAGAGAATATTTCAGAGAGAATATTTAGAATAAGATCGGTTACTTCTGATTTTGAAAAATATTTAACTTTTCTTCAGCATAAACTTTTCTGAGAACAATTCTATCACTCAGAGGGAATTATAATACAAACATTACTCCTAAACTTAGGATTTGAATCCTAGAAGGAAAAAGGGAATTATAATACAAACATTACTCCTAAACTTAGGATTTGAATCCTAGAAGGTAACGAATATCAAATTCCACCAAAATGCAATAAAAAATCACACTAAATCTTGACAGTTCTTGTGACATATTAATTCTTAGCTCAAGAAACAATATTGAATACAAACATTACTCCTAAACTTAAGATTTGAATCCTAGAAGGTAACGAAGGGAATCATAATACAAACACTACTCCTAAACTTAGGATTTGAATCCTAGAAGGTAACGAAGGGAATCATAATACAAACATTACTCCTAAACTTAGGGTTTGAATCCTAGAAGGAACGGAGCTCAAATTCCACCAAAATGCAATAAAAAATCACACTAACTACTAATTACACTTGCAAACTTATCTTAATCTTTTACCATAATAGGTACATATAACTCTAATGGATCCCATAATGGCATTATTAACACTATTACAAAGTCAGAGATCAGATGCAGTATATTTTAATGTAGATAGTTAGCATTCTGGTTTAAGCTTTAGCTGCTTACAGTTATTTATTTACAGTTGTAAACAAATCCCATGGTTCCATTGAAACCAGCGCTATATCCTAATTTGTTCCAATCGATGGCTGGATTGATGGATGGATGTACATCAGCAGGAACCCAGTATGGAGTACCCGTGGAACCCTTGAATGTAGCACCCTTTAGTGCTCTGATCTTGGTTCCTTTCCCTGGTGTATTACGAATAACTTGACCATCCAGGCAGAAGGTTGACCCATTGCAGTTTTTGCATGGATCTTTGGTATACTCGTATTTATCCCCTAATTTCTTCTCAAGTTTGGAAGTTTTAGTCTTAGAATATTCCAGCTGAATCTTGGTATCTTCCAATTGAATCTTGGACTCATCCAGCTGAGACTTGGTCTCTTCTATCTTAATCTTGGACTCTTCCAACTTAATATTGGTCTCTTTCGACTGAATCTTGGACTCTTTCAGCTGAATCTTGGTATCTTCAAACTTAATCTTTGTCTCGTTCAATTCAGTCTTGGTATTCTCCAACTGAATCTTGGAATCTTCCAGCTGAATCTTGGTCTCGTTTAATTCGGTCTTGGTATTCTCCAACTGAATCTTGGTATCTTCCCCCTGACCCTTGACATCTTCCATTTGCTTCTTCATATCTTGAAACTGCATCCTCATATCTCCCATCTCCTCAAATATTTGATCCAATTGCTCCTCAGTACGCTGAATTCCTAGATAATAACATAAATATAAAGAAAACTAGATGATTTTATCTGAAAAAAATGAAAAGAAAAAATCCATAGCCTTTTTCTTTCCATGTATTTATCCTATTCTCAGATTTTGATGTCTTTGAAATATACGCAAAATTGTCTTGTCCTATGAACAAGGGTATGTATTTATTTTATAGACAAGTTTTTAACTAATATGATTTATACGATGAGAACAATAAACTGCGGTATAGGAAAACAACATAAAAGTAATAAATAAGTGTATTTGATGTTGTAACAAAGCAAAAAGTTTACTAGTGACTTATTAAATCCCTTGTTCAGTGAAATGAATCTGTTCACACTGCACAATTCCTGTGTCTTATTGTACTACTTAAAGTCACAACTTGAGTCCTCCTTATTCCGGAGTTTTCTGGTTTGATAGACAAACTATTTAATAAACACATTTCTATGGACGACTGTTTAATAGACAAAATGATAATACTAATAAAAATACTATTTTTAACACAAACTGTTCTAGATCCCTATATAAGGAGAAAATGGTTTGAAATATTTCATGTCAAGGAGATTAAAGCTCATGTAAATACATCAAATTTTTATATTTTCCACAAGAATATTAAAAAATCCGTAGTCTCAAAACTAAAATAGTAAGAAAAGAAAAATAGGATTTTGAGTAGATAATTATACTATAATCATTAAGTTTTTGCTTCAAAGTTTTAAATTTTAAATTTCAAGGTGGTTTTATAGTTTTATTATGAAATTAATTAAGATTATTCTATAATAATACCTCCACTGTCGAATTTCCTCTTAGTTCCACGATTCTCTAGTTTAGTGGCTTCTTCTAGAGCGTCAGAGAATATTTTCAGGATTGAGGAACTCATGTTCACTGTTCAGGTTGTCAGGGTTACCTTGAAAATTGACGATTTAAAATAGTGGAAAGAATCAGTCAACAATTCTTTTATTTAAAGGAAATGATTTTTTGCCACAAATTCTTATTTTTTTATTTTTAGATCTTTGCAACCCGATCAGGCTTGTAACCAGGTGCAAGGGGTCAGGTTGCACCCCCATTATTTTTTTTAATAAGATCTATTCTTGAAAAATTAAGATTATGATTTATGGATAATCAAATTTTCAAAAATTAGTCTTCATCAAAGTTTGATTTTCATTAAATTTTTGAAAATTTAGAAATTTAGAAAATCCATGAAATCTTATCATAAAATCCGTAAAGCGCCCTAAAAGCCTGAACTGAAAACTTTAGAATGGTGGATATTGAGATTAATGTTTAATCCTCTCTTTTTCTTAACATCAAGATTAACCTAATCGTGTCCTTGTTTTTCTGAAAAGTGTATAAAATTCAACCAATCAGAGTCGCGTATATGAAGCCGATAAATTTGAAATTTTGCGCGCCGTATAAGATTATATACAGAAACGGGAGGGACTTTACTTGATTTTTCTCTACAATATCCCAGAAAGAACGGTTAAGAAGAAAATCAAAAGTGTGTCCATTGGATACTCAAGATTAAGTAATTGGGATTAAGGATATCTCATTCTAAGTTTGATTCACTATAATTTGTAGGATTGTACAGTTGTAACCAGTAATACTTCATACTTTCCTTAAACCAGACCCATAGCTTAATATTTTGTAATTTGTAATTTGTATGCATGCCCTGAACATTTACAGAGATTAATAAACAATTTACAATTTACAATTTACAAAGCACGGTGATAATTCATAATTAAAAGAAAAAATGAAGACAACAATCATTCCATTGAATTATGGTTACCACTAAGAATTAAGTAACATTAAATAAATAAGGCGTCAGCAATATTTTGTCATTGTTATATAAAAAGAAAAGAATTGCGTCCATAGGCGTGTGTATTAAGGAACTGATCTTTGACACAAACTCTTATTTTTCAATCATTATATCTTTGCANCGAAGGGAATCATAATACAAACATTACTCCTAAACTTAGGATTTGAATCCTAGAAGGTAACGAAGGGAATCATAATACAAACATTACTCCTAAACTTAGGATTTGAATCCTAGAAGGTAACGAATATCAAATTCCACCAAAATGCAATAAAAAATCACACTAAATCTTGACAGTTCTTGTGACATATTAATTCTTAGCTCAAGAAACAATATTGAATACAAACATTACTCCTAAACTTAAGATTTGAATCCTAGAAGGTAACGAAGGGAATCATAATACAAACACTACTCCTAAACTTAGGTTTTGAATGCTAGAAGGTAACGAAGGGAATTATAATACAAACATTACTTATCTTTATCTTAATCTTTTACCATAAAAAGTACATATAATTCTTATGACCATAGATCCCATAATGGCATTATTAACACTATTACCAAGTCAGAGATCAGATGCAGTATATTTGAATGTGGATAGTTAGCATTCTGGATTAAGCTTTAGCTGCTTACAGTTATTTATTTATTTACAGTTGTAAACAAATCCGGTTCCAATGAAATCCATGCTTAATCCTGATGTGTTCCACTTGATGAAGGGTCCGAGTGTGGAATCTACCCTATCTACAACTCCAGTATCATTAGCATGAACCCGGTATTGATAACCAAAGCTATTCCATGTAGTATCCTTTAGTGCTCTGATCTTGGTTCCTATCCCTGGTGTATTACGAACAACTTGACCATCCAGGCAGAAGGTTGACCCATTGCAGTTTTTGCATGGATCTTTGGTATACTCGTATTTATTCGCTATTTCCTTCTCAAGTTTGGAAGTTTTAGTCTTAGAATATTCCAACTGAATCTTGGTATCTTCCAATTGAATCTTGGTCTCGTTTAATTCGGTCTTGGTATTCTCCAACTGAATCTTGGTATCTTCCAGCTGAATCTTGGTATCTTCCAATTTAATCTTTGTCTCGTTTAATTCAGTCTTGGTATTCTCCAACTGAATCTTGGTATCTTCCCCCTGACCCTTGACATATTCCATTTGCTTCTTCATATCTTGAAACTGAATCTTCATATTTCCCATCTCCTCAAATATTTGATCCAATTGCTCCTCAGTACGCTGAACCCCTAGATAATAACAAAAATTGGAGAAATTTTGTTTTGGAAACAATAATATTTTTAAAATACGGAATTCTATGGATAAACTGTTTACTAGGTGAATTGTTTTATTAACAAACTGTTTTATAAACAAACTGTTTTATAAACAAACTGTTTTATAAACAAACTGTTTTATAATCAAATGTTTTAAATGTAAAGGTGGTTTTGAGGTTTATTATGAAACTTGAAAATATAAAAGGTTCTTTTACCTCCGCTGTCGGAATTCCTCTCAGTTTCTTGCTTCTCTAGCTTCTTAGCTTCTTCTAGAGCAACAGCGAGTAGTTTCACAATTGAGGAACTCATGTTCAGGTTAGGTTGTCAATGTCAGTGCCTGGAAAACATACGTTTTAAACGTGGGGAAATTTAAGTTGGGATTTTCATTTTTTTAAGAAACTGCAGGTCCTAAATTTAAGTGACTTTCCATTGAGACAATTACATTCGATATCCATTAAACCTTTGTAAAAAATGACGAAGATATTCTTGATTTCTATCTATAAAATGAGAATTGGCAGTATTAAACAGAGTTTAAGATAGAAAACCGAAGATATCTTTCTCATTGTTGCTTAGATAAAGTTGTAAAATATAATGTTGTGAATCAGGCGTGCTTCTCTTTCTTAGAGGGCAGGGATGGTTTTTTTCGCTAAATTGGTGAAAATAAACCAATTTTGGGTAAAAAATTTGAAAAAATATAAAAAAAACTTGCCTTTAAACTTTATCATTTCCCCCCCAAAAATTCCCCCCTTTAAATTAACACTCAGGGCGTAGTGGAGGTTTAGCCCAGGGGGGTGAACTTTTAGCGAAACAAATTTTGTGCACCCCCCTAAAAACTGGTATTNCTAAAAAACTGCATTAAAGGGAGTGTTCGCGAAAAATGAAAGGGGGTATAGGCTTAATGCGAAAAAAGGCACTTTTGATCGCTACTAATCTTACTTCTATTTGTTGCGTCTATAAGAAGAAAATTGTTAAAAACGACAAAGACCGAAGAACGTAGTGTCCATACAAATTCAGAAAGATGCAACATACCACTTAGACCGTAAAAAAATCTATTTAATTTTAAACAAATCATTCAGATATTACAACCTATAGTCATCGATTATCTTTCGCCACATTTGTATATAGTTGATTTTTCATATTATGTTTTGATTTTATTTTTTAAAATAATATTTAGCTTACAACTTGTTTTCGAACATTCCTGGAAAATATTAAAATGTCGTCTTCATTACCAAAAATCCTCGAAACAGGAATAAATGTTTTATTTCAACCTTCTGAGTCTATTTTTTTTCAACCATTTAGAATTCCATTTTCTGCTGTGGGTTCTCTGCAAGAGTGACTTACACATTTCTTTGTTATAATAAAGATTGGAGAAACATTTTTCAAGTGAGAAACACGACTTGTCTTCCACAATTTTGATCAGATTTAGATTTCAAGGGTATTGTTGTAAATCCAGCATTACCATATCTTTACATAAAGGGTCACTTGAAATTACGATTACAGTCCTTTTATTAATGTCCCAGATATACCACTTGCTAGTAGAATGAAAATAGTAATAAAAGCTTGATGGTTTACTACTCATCTCAAAGTTTAACAATCCTAAACTAAAACTTAACAGGAATATTCTTAAACAGTCCTGAAGGGTCTCTAAACTGTATTTAAGTCAGATATATCAATATTTATCTGAAACATACAATATGATTTATGCACAAAGATTATATTAAACTATTGCAGAATAGTTAACACAATTGAAAGATCCAACCAAAATAAGATTTATCATCACAATATGAAAGTAAACTTACATCTTAGAAGATTGTCAATTGCAACCTGTACAGCTTATATTAATAATACTTAACAAGAAATTTTCACAAGTTTAAATGTTGATTATAGATCAACTTTAATCAATTTAAGATTTTTAAGCTATAAGTTTTAACAATATAAAAATATTACAATATTAAAATAGTGATAGAATCTTTAGAATAAGATCGGTTAATTCTGATTTTGAAAAATATTTAACTTCTTTCAGCATAAACTTTTCTGAGAACAATTCAATCACTCGGAGGGAATCATAATACAAACATTACTCCTAAACTTAGGATTTGAATCCTAGAAGGTAACAAAGGGAATCATAATACAAACATTACTCCTAAACTTAGGATTTGAATCCTAGAAGGTAACGAATATCAAATTCCACCAAAATGCAATAAAAAATCACACTAAATCTTGACAGTTCTTGTGACATATTAATTCTTAGCTCAAGAAACAATATTGAATACAAACATTACTCCTAAACTTAGGATTTGAATCCTAGAAGGTAACAAAGGGAATCATATTACAAACATTACTCCTAAACTTAGGATTTGAATCCTAGAAAGTAACGAAGGGAATCATAATACAAACATTACTCCTAAACTTAGGATTTGAATCTTAGAAAGTAACAAAGGGAATCATAATACAAACATTACTCTTAAACTTAGGATTTGAATCCTAGAAGGTAACAAAGGGAATCATAATACAAACATTACTCTTAAACTTAGGATTTGAATCCTAGAAGGTAACGAAGATCAAATTCCACCAAAATGCAATAAAAAACCACACTAACTACTAATTACACTTGCAAACTTATCTTAATCTTTTACCATAAAAAGTACATATAACTCTAATAGATCCCATATTGGCATTATTAACATATTACCAAGTCAGAGATCAGATGCAGTATATTTGAATGTGGATAGTTAGCATTCTGGGTTAAGCTTTAGCTGCTTACAGTTATTTATTTACAGTTGTAAACACATCCACGGAAACCACGGAATTCATAATTTCCATATGGGTTCCACTTGATGAGGGGTCCGTATGTGGGACGTACACTTTCTACAACTCCAGTATCATTAGCAGGAATCCGGTTTTGAGTACCCGAGCAATTCCATGTAGTATCCTTTAGTGCTCTGATCTTGGTTCCTATCCTTGGTGTATTACGAACAACTTGACCATCCAGGCAGAAGGTTGACCCATTGCAGTTTAAGCATGGGTCTTTGGTATACTCGTATATATCCGCTAATTCCTTCTCAAGTTTGGAAGTTTTAGTCGTAGAATATTCCAACTGAATCTTGGTATCTTCCAATTGAATCTTGGACTCATCCAGCTGAGACTTGGAATCTTCTATCTTAATCTTGGACTCTTCCAACTTAATATTGGTCTCTTTCGACTGAAGCTTGGACTCTTCCAGCTGAATCTTGGTATCTTCAAACTTAATCTTGGTCTTGTTTAATTCAGTCTTGGTATACTCCAACTGAATCTTGGTATCTTCCAGCTGAATCTTGTTCTCGTTTAATTCGGTCTTGGTATTCTCCAACTGAATCTTGGTATCTTCCAATTGAATCTTGGACTCATTCAGCTGAGACTTTGTCTCTTCTATCTTAATCTTGGATTCTTCCAGCTGAATCTTGGTCTCATCCAACTGAATCTTGGATTCTTCCAGCTGAATCTTGGTATCTTCCAACTTAATCTTGGTCTCGTTCAATTCAATCTTGGAATTCTCCAACTGTATCTTTGTATCTTCCAGCTGACCCTTGACATCTTCCATTTGCTTCTTCATATCTTGAAACTGAATCCTCATATTTCCCATCTCCTCAAATATTTGATCCAATTGCTCCTCAGTACGCTGAATTCCTAAATAGTAACATAAATATAAAGAAAACTATATGATTTTATCTGAAAAAAATGAATAAGAAAAAAATCCATAGCCTTTTTCTTTCCATGTTTTTATCCTGTTCTCAGATTTTGATGTCTTTGAAATATAAGCAAAATTGTCTTGTCCTATGGACAAGGGTATGTATTTATTTTATAGACAAGTTTTTAACTAATCAAATTTATACGATGAGAACCAGAAAACTGCAGGATAGGAAAACAACATAAAAGTAATAAATAAGTGTATTTGATGTTCTATTTTTAACAGAAACTGTTCTAGATCCGTATATGAGGAGAAAATGGTTTGACATATTTCATGTAAATACATCAAATTCCATTATTTTTATATTTTCCACAAGAATATTCAAAAATTCAGCTCCAAGAAATCCGTAGTCTCAAAACTAAAATAGTAAGAAAAGAAAAATAGGATTTTGAGAAGATAATATTACTATAATAATTAAGTTTTTGCTTCAAAGTTTTAAATTTCAAGGTGGTTTTATAGGTTTATAATGAAAATAATTAAGATTATTCTATAATAATACCTCCACTGTCGAATTTCCTCTTAGTTCCACGATTCTCTAGGTTAGTGGCTTCTTCTAGAGCGTCAGAGAATATTTTCAGGATTGAGGAACTCATGTTCACTGTTCAGGTTGTTAGGGTTACCTTGAAAATTAACGTTTTAAAAGGGAGGAAAGAGTCAGTCTACAATTTCTCTTTTTTAAGAAAATGATTTTTTGCCACAAATTCTTATTTTTTTATTTCTAAATCTTTGCAACCCGATCAGGCCCGAAACCAGGAGGGTGCAAAGGGTCAGGTTGCACCCTCATTACTCCTGAAAGGGGGGTGCAGTGACTAATTTGCAGTTGCACCCCCTACTATTTTTTTAAAATACGATCTATTCTTGAAAAATTAAGATTATCATGGTTTATGGATAATCAAATTTTTAAAACTTCATCAAAGTTCGATCTTCATTAAATTTTTGAAAATTTTGAAAATCTATGAAATCTTATTATGAAATCCGTGAAGCACCCTAAAAGCCTGGGATAATAAGTTTGATTCACTATAATTTGTAGGATTGTACAGTTGTAACCAGTAATACTTCATACTTTCCTAAAACTAGACCCATAGCTTAGAATTTTGTAATTTGTAATTTGTATACATGCCCTGAACATTTACAGAGATAGTTTTTAAAAACAAAGGCGTCAGCAATATTTTGTCATTGTTATATAAAAAAAGACTTGCGTCCATTGGCGTGTGTATTATGGAACTGATCTTTGACACAAACTCTTATTTTTCAATCATTTTATCTTTGCAAACCAATGTCGTATATCTATTATATTTCAAACTATGAATTCGATGTTTAAGATAAAATCTAAGTTTGAAATATCAAAGGTTTTCACTATCAGATTGCAAAGATATATGAATTAGAAAATTTGAGTTTGTGGCAAAAACTCAGTTCTTTACTAAGCTTTAAAGAGATTTAAAATCTATTTTAAAATATAGAGATTTATCAGCCAAAATCGTTCAGAGGATTTTGCTTAGTAACAGTGGGAAACAAAGGACAAAAACAACAAATTTTTTTTTCTTGTTATTTTTTTTACTTTGCAATGGAACATTAATTACCCCCCAAGAGCTCCGGGGGGGGGGGAATAAGTCCCCCCCCCACCCCTGAACCGCTCCTATTTTAACTGCATCATTTCAATTAATTAATAATAAAAGTATTTAGTAATTACAACACTTATCTTTTTATAGAAAATTCTTTCTTAATTTTGCAATAAGACCCAAAAAGTTTTAAAATTATAACAACATTCTCATTTTTCTCTGTAGAATTGAATGATGGAAAAAGGAAAGTGGCAGATATTAACCTGTTTATAAGATAGAAAATGGAAGATATCTTGGTTGTTTTCATAAATGTGAAATATGCTGTTGTACATACAACTCATTAAAATTCAAAATCACGTTCACAATTGACAGTCCTTTAAAAAACTAAAAACCAAAAAAAGGAAACGATGTTATTGCCACAAACTATTAATTCCCTAATATTTTCAACCCGATTTCGAAAACCTTTGATATTTCAAACTATGAATTAATGTTAAAATGGCATTAGGTTGCAATGATATAGGGATTAGAAAAGTTGAATTTGTGCAAAAAATCAGTTTCTTTGTTATATTTAAATCGACGTATAAGTTAAAATGAATAAAATTTTATTGGAAAAGTATGAGAAAATGAATATAAGCTTGTAATTAAAATTACATATCCGAAATTTAACAATTCCTGAATAAAATAAAATAAAACTTACCAGAAATATTCTAGAATAGTCCTGAAGGTTCTCTAAACTGTATTTAAGTCAGGGAGAAATCAATATTTATCTGAAACATACAATATGATTTATGCACAAAGATTTTCTTAAGTTATTGCAGAATAGAACAAAATTGAAAAATATTAACTATTAAAAAATAGTTAACAACAAATTGAAAGATCCAACCGAAATAAGATTTTTCATCACAATATGAACGGAAACTTACATCTTAGAAGATTGTCAAGTGCAACCTGTACAGCTTATATTACTAATATACTTAACAAGAAATTTTCACAAGTTTAAATGTTGATCATAGATCAACTTTAATCAATTTAAGATTTTTAAGCCAAAAGTTTTAACATTATAACAATATTACAATATTAAAAAAGTGAGAGAATATTTCCGATAGAATATTTAAAATAAGATCGGTTACTTCTGATTTTGACAAATATTTAATTTTTCTTCAGCATAAACTTTTCTGAGAACAATTCTTTCACTCAGAGGGAATCATAATACAAACATTACTCCTAAACTTAGGATTTGAATCCTAGAAGGTAACGAAGGGAATCATAATACAAACATTACTCCTAAACTTAGGATTTGAATCCTAGAAGGTAACGAAGGGAATCATAATACAAAGATTACTCCTAAACTTAGGATTTGAATCCTAGAAGGTAACGAAGATCAAATTCCACCACAAAGCAATAAAAAACCACACTAATTACTAATTACACTTGCAAACTTATCTCTATCTTAATCTTTTACCATAAAAAGTACATATAACTCTAATAGATCCCATAATGGTATTATTAACACTATTACCAAGTCAGAGTTCAGATGCAGTATATTTGAATGTGGATAGTTAGCTTTCTTGGTTAAGCTTTATCTGCTTACAGTTATTTATTTACAGTTGTAAGCACATCTACTGCAGATACCACCACGGATATGTGATGTGTCCGTGTGTGGAAGCTACCCTCTCTACATATTCTACAACTCTATCTTGTTTGGAAGTTTTAGTTTTAGAATATTCAAGCTGAATCTTGGTATTTTCCAGCTTAATCTTTGTTTCGTTTAATTCAGTCTTGGTATTCTCCAACTGAATCTTTGTATCTTCCCCTTGACCCTTGACATCTTCCATTTGCTTCTTGATATCTTGAAACTGAATCTTCATATTTCCCATCTCCTCAAATATTTGATCTATTTGCTCCTCAGTACGCTGAATCCCTAGAAAAAAAAACAAAAATTGGAGAAAATAATTCATTTTGTTTTGGAAACAATA